AACACGCAGGAGCTGGCGTTCCATGGCAACAACATGTGAGTGAAGGGGGCTGAGAGGGGTAGGGGGGTGTGGTACTGTGTGTGTGTGTGTGCACCTGGTTCACTGCGGGTTGGCGACCATCCTCTGGGCCTAGTCCCAAGACAACACGCAGGAGCTGGCGTTTCATGGCGACATGTGAGTGAGGGGGGGGGGGGGGGGGGGAAGAGAACGTCATGGGGTTGCATTAGGCCGTGTGTGTGCAACGAGGTGGCAATCATCCTCTGGGCCTAGTCTCGAGACAACAGCCAGGAACTCGCCTTCCATGGAGACAACAGGTGAGTGGGGGAGGGTGAGAGGGCTACGGGGTTGGTAGTGGCCCGCTCAGCACGGTGATCTTGGGCGCATTTGAGGAGGCCACCATCGTCTGGGCTTACTCTCGTGACAACACGCAGGAACTCGCCTTCCATGGAGACAACATTTGAGTGGGGGATGGAGAAGGGGGGTTGGGGGGGGGGGGGAGGTGTGGGAGGAGTAGGGGGTTGCGGTTGTTGTGAGTGTGCCCGCCTGATTCAGTGCGAGGAGGCCGCCATCCTCTGGGCCTACTCTCAAGACAACACGCAGGAACTCGCCTTCCACGGAGACAACACGTGAGTTTTTTTTTTCTTCTTCTTCTTCTTCTTTTTGTTTGTTTTCATTAATATTTTTGTTTCTTTCTTTCTTTTTGCTTGCTTGTTTGTTTGTTTGTTTGTTTGTTTTTATCATGGTTTTGGTTTCCAGTCGTTGTGCTGCGTGGAGCTGCTTTGTACTTATCTACTCGCTATCTTCTCACCCCTTACCTTGCAGAAAAAGTGTCGTGTGAAGTTGTAACGAGGTGACTTTTGAGTCGATTCAAAAGTCACCTTGTGTGGAGCTGCTTTGTACTTATCTACTCGCTATCTTCTCACCCCTTTCCCTCCCTTCTCTTCTCTTCTCTTCTCTGCTCTTCTCTTCTCTTCTCTTCTCTTCTCTGCTCTTCTCTTCTCTTCCCTTCTCTTCTCTTCTCTTCTCTTCTCTTCTCTTCTCTTCTCTTCTCTTCTCTTCTCTTCTCTTCTCTTCTCTTCTCTTTGCTTCTCTTCTCTTCTCTTCTCTTCTCTTTGCTTCTCTTCTCTTCTCTTCTCTTCTCTTCCCCTTTTCTCTGTGCACAGGGGATCAGTAACAATCGACTTCTCCTCTGGAAAATCCTCCCCCTCCTCCTCCCCTGCTCTCATCGCCCACGCGGTCTTCCTCTCTCTCGCCTTCTTCCTCCTCATGCCCTCAGCTATCCTCATCGCCCGTCTCTTCCTCGCAACCCCCTCCTCCCTCTCCTCCACTCCTCTCCACCTCTCAGACGCCAATAGCACAGACTCCCATCCCCCCTCCTCCTCCTCCTCTTTCTCCTCTTCTGCTCCCCATGCTGATGACTCGATGTCAAATGATTCGCGCCGAGTGTTCTGGTTCACATGGCATAAGTACCTGCAACTGGCCGCGCTCGTCTGCATCTGCGTCGGGTGCATCACGGCGTTTGTCTCGTCTGGATCTCAAGGGTTCCATTATGCCCATGCCTGGATCGGTGTTTTCCTTCTCGTTCTCCTCGTCGCCATCCAGCCTCTTGTTGTCTTCTTCCGCCCGTCCTCCCGCCCGTCTTCTTCCGATTCGTCGGACTCTGCCGGCCAATGGCATTACGCCAGCTGGACTCGTGGGAGGTGGCGAGTGGTGCATTGGGTGGTGGGCGTGGTGGGAGTGGTGTTTGGTTGGTTCAACTGCTTCCTCGGGCTCACTCTCTACAGTAAAAAGTTTGCTGCTGGAGTCGTGGTAAGTTCCATTTCTCTGCGTTCTTTCGCGTTACATAAGACCATCGAAGTTTGAATCGCTGCGTGCACATTGGATGCACTGCCGTCGTATTCACCATTTGTGTTCCACGCCTTTGGGTCATGTGTTGATGTGTCGCAGGGAGGATATGCAGTGTTCGGTATTCTCGCTATCATCATCGGCTTTCTTTATGGTGCTCTTATCGTGAGAGATGTAAAGAGGAAGAAGGATGCTAATGCTGCTGCTGCTGAATCCACTGGGTTTCAGATGCAGTCCAGGGCAGTTCCGTAGTGGAGTCTTCTGTGCTGAACAAAATGTGGTGCCCTTTTGTTTTATCCTCACATCTAGTTATATGCTTGTTTGATGGTTGTTAGGAGGATGTGATGGTGTTTTAACCCTCTTCAGGAATATTTTTTTTTGCTGTGCGTTTGCCATAGCGATCGAATGTACTGTGTTTTGGCGTTTGAATATACATAATTTTCGATCCTACAGCCCTGTGTTACGAGTGCAATTGAGTGAACAAACGAGAATTGCACTATCGAAGCAAGAGTCCGATGAGCGAAGGCATGAGCGAAGAATATATAGCGAAACTACAGTGGTAACGGTAATGGACTGTGGTTGTCGCGCGACGGGCCTGGGACTGAGGTTGGGAAAAGTGTCGAAGCGGAGGCCCGGAGGGCGGGTTACCCGCCGAGCCGTGAGGTCGGGGTGCGACGTGCGAAGGTGGCGGGCGGATTGTAGATGCGAGGATTGCGAGTGGTAACGGTGCTGACTGTGGTGCTACAGTGATGTATGCGTTGAGCAGGGACGCGAAGTAAGGAAAAAGAGATTTTCCTTACACCCTGAAAGTGATTGGTTCCTGCTCTGCTTGCTGCTTGGGGCAATGAACGACTCCAAAGATTGGCACAACAGTCGTGCGAGCCCATCTGGTCGGTGGAAGCTAGTGGTAGTAGAGCAGCATAAATCATCGAGCGATGCCAAGCGAAACAGTCTGCGACTGTTGCTGTCGTTCTACGGCTGGTTCTCCCTGATGCCATCGCGAATCGCGACAGCCTGGGCGATCCGAGAATTACCATTCCCCGCGCGTGGGTCAAAATGTGCGGCTCGGAGACTTTGGTCAAATTTCAGTTGTCCAGCCAACTCCCAATTTCTGTGAAAGGCGCATGAGAAAATGAAATCCCTACTCCTTGAAACCCCTTAAAACATGCGGTACAACCTTTGAAACAAATAACGGACCGTACTGGAACGCTTTCTGTGAAATCCCGTGTGGTGTCTGCAGACAGGGCGAGATTTCTGAGCAGATGACGAGTCTTCTCTCCCTAGAATGAAACTCAGTTGTGCCTGTACTGGTCTTCATCACACTTAGTGCTGTGCTGTGTAACAGATGCGGCCGCTCCAGCGTCTCCAATAGTTGGTACGTAGCATCAGACATATCTTCTAGTGTTGAAGTCAGAGTCGCGATTGGCTTGTATCTCGGTTTCGTAGTTGTAGTGGTCGCAGTCTTTCCCCCCCACCTCTTCCTTTAGACTCGCCTCGAGTCTCGACTAGTGCTTGTAGTGCATCCTCAATAATGGCGTCCTCACGCGTTTCGATACTGCTGATTGCGCTACCACTTCTCCTGCTGCTGCTGCTCGCGGGATCTGCGGAAGGAGCCGGCTTTACGGATCAGATCTCGAAGAGCGTTCGCGATTTTTTCAGTCAATTCTCGAAAATGTGGAGCTCCGGCGGCGGCACGTCCGAGGGGTACCCATCCGTCTGCCAGAACTCCACGCTTCCCGGCTACACCTCATCTTTCCAGCTAACTGATGGGTAAGATTGTAGCACAAGCTTCGAGGCGGCCCGAAATATGGGTTTCGTGGCGAGTACGAATGAGTCTGTATTCTGTACCTTCTGCTTCTTGAGGCGCCTCAAAAAGCTTCGAGTTGCATTTTGAGGCGCCTCAAAAAGCTTCGAGGCGGCCCGAAATATGGGTTTCGTGGCGGGTACAAATGAGTCTGTACCTTCTGTTACGTATTCTGTACCTTCTGCTTCTTCATTTCCCTCCGCGGCGTGCCTCGTTACAAAGTTGGGATTTCGAAAATGGGGAGCACCGGCGGCGGCACGGCGCCGTGCAAACTTGGGATCTCGGCACCGTGCCGCCAGAATCGTGTTTTGAGTCGACTCAAAACAGAGCCTCGGCGAGCTCCGGCGGCGGCACGTCCGAGGGGTATCCGTCCGTCTGCCAAAACTCCACTCTTCCCGGCTACACGTCGTCTTTCCGGCTAATTAACGGGTAAGAGCAGGATACGAGTTTCTGAAACACACCAGGTGCACCTGGTGTAGAGCGGATTCAGCGTTTGCCTCGTTTAGGCGTACCCCTTGAAAATGTGCTGTATCGGTGTTACTTTTGAGGATTCTCAAAAGTAACACCAATTTCTTGGGTTGTTCCCTCTTCCCTAATGTCCTTCACTGGGTTCTCCCACGCTCCATCCTCCTTAACTAGTGCACTTTCGAAGTTTACTCATACTCGGTTGAGAACTTAATCCTTCCTGTTCTCTCCCCCCTCCCCTTTCCCCATCACATGCCCGACCCCCCGCTCCCTCCCCCCCCAGCCTCACCATCCGTTGGATCCCCGCCAAAAACACGTCCGAGCTTCAACAACTGGATTCTATGCGTTGCCCCCCACTACCTCTTCACCCCCCCTTCCTCTCTTCCCCACCCTCCACCCCCTCTCAGCCTCACCATCCACTGGATCCCCGCCAAAAACACGTTGGAGCTTCAAATTGCCGTCGAAGCGCCATAGAAAATTCTCGAAAGTCACCTGTTGCCCTTGCCACATTTCCACCCCCTCTCTGCCTCACCATCCACTGGATCCATCCCAAAACACGTCAGGACGAAGTTACCTGTGGATCCACTGGCAGGTCGAAACTGTTTTTCTATGAACCATCCCAAAAACACGTCGGAGCTTACAAAACTGTTTCCGCATTCCCCCCCTTCCCCCCCTTCCCCCACTCCACCCCCTTCCGCCCTCCCCGCTTCCACCCCCTTTCCCCAGCCTCACCATCCACTGGATCCCCGCCAAGAACACGTCCGAGCTTCAAATCGCCGTCGAAGCGCGGCGAATCGCCTCCTCGTCGCCGGAGAATCAGACGGCGACGTCGCAGGCGCTACCCGGGAAGGGCTGGTTCTCCGTGGGATGGTCGCAAAGCGGCGCGATGTATCCCGGTGACGCGGTGGTGGGAAATCAGCAGCGCGCTGCGGTCGCCGCGTACAGCATGACCGGCCACGACGCGAGCGCGGTTCGGCGGACGAACGATATCCAGCTGGGGAAGACGAGTCTGTCGCGCAGCAAGAGCTCCGTTATAATGAAGTGCGTGAAAATCTAAAAGGCTGCTTTCTGTCAAAACAAGGGCATGTTATGTATAAATGTTTACTGTACTCTCCTGACTTCTACATGTTTTTTTTCATGTGTGGCAGCAGTGTATCATTCCAGAATGACGATTTCGTCTTCCTGTTGTCCCCCCCAGGTTCTCTCGTTTTGAGAACAACGGCGGAGTCGTGCCCTTCAGTATAAAGGGCTTCGGTATAGTCACGTGGGCGTACGCACCAGACGGCACCAGAGTCCTCGGATCCCACGACAGCAACAAGTAAGTTCTCCCGAACCTGTGCCCCGAACCTCTGTCCCGAACCTGTGCCCCGAACCCTGCATGAACCTCACATTCCGAACCTCTGTCCCAAACCTTGTGCTCCAGTCTAGTGCTTGCCTAGCATCGGCAAACGCAAATCCAGATTGATTTCACCTGTGACGCTGCTGCTCCCCCGCCCGCCCCGCGCCCCTCCTCCCCTTCCTAGCCCTCTCCTGGCAGTGTATCGCGCATCTCCTTCCGAATCTCCTTCCGAATTCCCTTTCCTCCGCCCCTCCACCACCCCACGCCTCCCTGTTACCCCCCTCCCCACCCTCCTCCCCTTCCTGGCCCTCTCCTGGCAGTGTATCGCGAATCTCCTTCCGAAATCCCTTCCAGCCTCCCTTTCCCTCCGCCCTTCCTACACCACCCCACGCCTCCCCCTCACCCCCCTCCTCCCCCTCTCGGCCAAGCAGTGAATCACGCATCTCCTTCCGAATTCCTTTTCAGTCTCCCTTTCCCTCGCCCTTCCTACCCGTCCCCACGCCTCCCCAACCTCTTCCCTCCCACCGAGGGTCGGAACACGTTGGTTTCTCCTGCGACGTTGCTGCTCCCTGCTCCCCTCCTCACGCACCCGCTTTCCTCCTGCCCCCCACTTCCCCCCCAGAGGTTCATCACAGACAGATATCTCCTGCGGCGCTACTGACTTTTGAGTCGACTCAAAAGTCACCTCGTTTTCTCCTGCGACGCTGCTGCTCCCCCGCCCGGCCCTGAGCCTGACCTCCCTGCATTCTCCCGCCTGACCCTTTCTTCTCCACTCCCTCCCAATCCTTCCCCACCCAATCAAATCCCCCCAGAGGATCATCACAGACAGATATCTCCTGCGACGCTGCTGCTCCCCCGCCCGCTGCTGACCTCCCTGCATTCCCCCTCCTCACCCTTTCCTCCCCACCCCCTCCCTATCCTCCCCCACCTCTCCCCTCTCAGAGGGTCATCACAGGTTGATGTCTCCTGCGACGCTGCTGCTCCCTGCTCCCCTCCTCACACACGCGCTTCCCCCCTGCCCCCCACTTTCCCCCTGCCCCCCACTTTCCCCTGCCCCCCACTTTCCCCCTGCCCCCCACTTTCCCCCTGCCCCCCACTTTCCCCCTGCCCCCCACTTTCCCCCTGCCCCCCACTTTCCCCCTGCCCCCCACTTTCCCCCTGTCCCCCAATTTCCCCCTGCCCCCCACTTTCCCCCTGTCCCCCAATTTCCCCCTGGCCCCCTCTCGTCCCGCTCAGAGGATCATCGCAGATCCATTTCTCCGATTTGTTTGAGATTAGTTTTGAGAACTCTCAAAACTAACTTCTCCTGCAACGCTGCTGCTCCCCCGCGTGTGATAAGTCGACTTTTGAGTCGACTCAGTTTGATAAATCGACTTATCACGCAACGCTGCTGCTCCCCCGCCCGCTGCTGTCCTCCCTGCATTCCCCTTCTTGACCCTTCCCCCCTCCCCTTCTCCCCACCCCCTCCTCTCCCCCCCCCCCCAGAGGATCATCACAGATCGATTTCTCGTGCGACGCTACTGCTCCCCCGCCCGCCCCCCGCTCCTCCTCCTCCTCATAGCCCGGGCATTATGCTCACTACATTCCCTTCCGCATCCCACTTAATTCTCCCTTTCCTCCGTCCCTCCTATCCCACCCACGCCTTCCCCACTCCTCTCCCCCCCCCAGAGGATCATCACAGATTGATTTCTCGTGCGACGCCACTGCTCCCCCACCCGCCTCCCGCCCCACCTCCTCCTCGTCGCCCGGCCAGAACTGCAAGAAGTCAGCCCTGGCAGGATACCAGTACCAGACCAACCTGCAGGGCAGCAGGTGAGATGTGATGATATGAGAGGTGTGATCATAAGGTAGTTCGCATGTGTGCCTGCACACGTAGCCATCTCACCCCCCCACCTCCTCCTCGTCGCCCGGGTGGAACTGCAAGAAGTCGACTCTTCAAGGCTACCAGTACCAAACCAGCCTGCAGGGCAGCAGCAGGTGAGATGTGGGCGTGATTCTATGAGATGTGATTCTAACGAAGCTGAATGGTGTGCCTATCGGGGAGTAGTTACCACCTTCACCTCCTCCTCCTCTTCCTCGCCCGGGCACAACTGCAAGAAGTCAGCCCTGGCAGGATACCAGTACCAGACCAGCCTGCAGGGCAGCAGGTGAGATGTGATAATATGAGAGGTGATTGCAATGAAACTGAGAGGCGTGTCCATAGAGAGGTAGGGCCTCCCCGCCTCCCGCCCCACCTCCTCCTCCTCGCCCGGGAAGAACTGCAAGAAGTCAGCCCTGCCACTGCCTTGCCACTGCCTTGCCACTGCCTTGCCACCATCTCAGTCTCCCCCAACCTCCTCCTGCACTGGAAGGAAGCAGCAGGGAAGCAAGTGGACGTGGCAGTGGCTGCCAAATCTGCAGTCCAATAGAACACCATGTAGGGAAGCAAGTGGCCTACATGGTGTTCTATTGGGCAGCAGGGAAGCAAGTGGACCTGGCAGTGGCTGCCAACTCTGGCAGCCCGGCCAAAGACAGATGGATGGAGCAACCCCATTCAATTCCTCCTCTTCTCCCGCTTCCCCCCTTCCTCCAACCCACCTCCTCCTGCACTGGAAGGAAGCAGCAGGGAAGCAAGTGGAAATGGCTGTAGAGGCAAAATCCAATAGTCCGGCTAAGGACGGGTAGATATCCCTGGCTTGGAGCAACCCCAGTGGCCGAATGGTTCCCTCCGATGCAGTCATCGGGACCTTTTCAACCACCTCTTCCCCCGCTTATTCCCCCGCCTTCCTCTCCCCTCGCCCTTTTGCAGTCTGCTTTTGCACTGGAAGGAAGCAGCAGGGAAGCAAGTGGAAATGGCAGTAGAGGCCAAACCCGGCAGCCCAGCGAAAGTCGGATGGATGTCCCTGGCTTGGAGCAACCCCAGCGGCCGAATGGTGCCCTCCGATGCAGTCATCGGGAACCTTTACGGCGGGGAGATTTACGCGTACAAGGTGCCGGGTTACTCAAGTGATTCGCTGTCGCGAGACGGGTTTGATATCGGGAGTGGCGCGAGCACCAAGACGGAGGGGGGATCGGTTATTATGAGGTGCGTTTTGTTTTCCCTGAATTTGGAGTAAGGCTTTGCACCGGGAACGAATCACTGTCGCGAGACGGGTTTGACATCGGGAGTGGGCCGAGCACCAAGACGGAGGGAGGTTCAATCATCATGAGGTGCGTTTGGATTGGGGCTTCCGGGGAGATCCACGCGTATAAGGTGCCGGGTTACTCGAGTGATTCACTGTCGCGAGACGGGTTTGACTTCGGGAGTGGCGCGAGCACCAAGACGGAGGGGGGATCGGTTATTATGAGGTGCTGTTTTTTTATTGCTGTTCTGAATCTGCTTTTGAGTCGACTCAAAAGCATGAGGTGCCGTTTTTTTATTGCCGTTCTGAACCTGGAGCGTTGCAGTATTTGAGTCGACTCAAAAGGGGAATGATGTGGGGTTGACCCTCAAAGGCGCTTTTGAGTCGACTCAAAAGCTGAATCGAGTAGACTCAAAAGGGGAATGATGTGGGGTTGACCCTCAAAGGCGCTTTTGAGTCGACTCAAAAGCTGAATCGAGTCGACTCAAAAGCTGAATCGAGTCGACTCAAAAGCTGAATCGAGTCGACTCAAAAGCTGAATCGAGTCGACTCAAAAGCTGAATCGAGTCGACTCAAAAGCTGAATCGAGTCGACTCAAAAGCTGAATCGAGTCGACTCAAAAGCTGAATCGAGTCGACTCAAAAGCTGAATCGAGTCGACTCAAAAGCTGAATCGAGTCGACTCAAAAGCTGAATCGAGTCGACTCAAAAGCTGAATCGAGTCGACTCAAAAGCTGAATCGAGTCGACTCAAAAGCTGAATCGAGTCGACTCAAAAGCTGAATCGAGTCGACTCAAAAGCTGAATCGAGTCGACTCAAAAGCTGAATCGAGTCGACTCAAAAGCTGAATCGAGTCGACTCAAAAGCTGAATCGAGTCGACTCAAAAGCTGAATCGAGTCGACTCAAAAGCTGAATCGAGTCGACTCAAAAGCTGAATCGAGTCGACTCAAAAGCTGAATCGAGTCGACTCAAAAGCTGAATCGAGTCGACTCAAAAGCTGAATCGAGTCGACTCAAAAGCTGAATCTAGAGCGTTGCAGTTTTTGAGTCGACTCAAAAGCTGAATCTGGAGTGTTGCAGTTTTTGAGTCGACTCAAAAGCTGAATCTAGAGCGTTGCAGTTTTGGGTTGTCTCTGGGAGGAGAATAAGTCCAGGTGACGCTGTTTCTTTTCGATAGCTTCAACTTATTTGACCATCCCGTGTTTTTCAGTCGCATGGACAACACGGAATGGTCAAATAAGTTCAAGCTATTGAAGAAGAAGAGCCTCATTTGAGCTTACTCCTCATCCATTCCCCTCCTTTCAAGCTGTTGAAAAGAAACAGCGTCAGCTGGACTTATTCTCCTCCTCCATTCTTTCTCGCTCCTACCATCCCCACCAGGTTCACGCGGATAGACAAAACGGGATGGTCGAATAAGTTCAAGCTATCGAAGAAGAACAGCCTCATCTGAGCTTATTCGTCGTCCATTCCATTTGTCACTTCTCCCTCACAATCTCTCACACTCGCTTTCTCACTCACTCCCACACTCCCCCCCTCGGCATGGCCACCAGGTTCACGCGCACGGATAACACGGGATGGTCGAATAAATTCAAGCTATCGAAGAAGAACAGCCTCATCTGGGCTTACTCGTCCTCGGGGTCCAAAACACTAGGGTCTCACGGACGCAACTAGTAAGTGTGCTGGGTCTGCCTTTAACGAGTACATGTCTAGAGCTATTGGGGAAGAACAACCTCATCTGGGCTTATTCGTCCTCGGGATCCAACACGCTGGGGTCACACGGACGCAACTAGTGAGTGTGCTTATCTTTGAGTCGACTCAGTTTGTGCTTATAACGAGTATAAGACTTGAGCTATCGAAGAAGAACAGCCTCATCTGGGCTTACTCGTCCTCAGGATCCAACACGCTGGGGTCGCACGGACGCAACTAGTGAGTGTGCTGGGTCTGCTTTTAACGAGTATGAGTCTAGAGCTATATCAAGGAAGAACAAGCTCGTCTGGGCTTATTCCTCGTCTGGATCCAATACACTGGGGTCGCACAGGAGCAACTAGTGAGTGTGCTTATAACGAGTGCGTTTTCAGCTGTTCAGGAAGAAGAGCCTCGTACAGGCTTATGGTACTCCTTTTCTGATTTCAACACACTGGGATCCCACGGAAGCAACTAGTGAATGTGATGGATGTGCTCATAACGAGTATGGATTACAAGTTGTCACAACCATATTCGCGCTTACCCCTTGAAAGCGAGGATCCAACGCACGGGGGTTCGACGGAAGCAACTCGTGAGTGTAACCGGCGTGGTTATAACGAGTATGGTTATATTATACAAACACTCCCTGTGGCCATTACGCTGTTTGTTCCTTCTTCCCTTCTCCCCTCTTTCAATGGTCGGCTCTCCTTTGATATCTCCTGACACGTCCCCAATACTGCCCCGTTTCCCCCTCACCAACCCCCTTCCCGCAGTGGCCGCCTCTCTGTTGATTTCTCCTGACACTTCCCCAATACTGCTCCTGTTCCCCCTCCCCAACCCCCCCACCCCCCCTCCAGTGGCCGCCTCTCTGTTGATTTTTCCTGACACTTCCCCTCTTCCCCCTCACCACCCCCCTCCCCCAGTGGCCGCCTCTCTGTTGATTTCTCCTGCCGCACAGCACCTGCTAAGTCCCGCCCCGGCTTCTCGTGGTGGCCCAGGCGGGGTGGGGGGGGAGGAGGAAGGGATGGGGATGATGATGATGATGATGATTAGGTACGAGGGATGGACGGTGGCACAGCAAGGAAGTCACTGGCTCACATGTCACGTTCTGGTGGTGTGACCCAGACGCATCAGGCTGGGAGGAGGAGGAAGGGATGGGGATGATGATGATGATGATGATGATGATGATGATGATGATGATGATGATGATGATGATGATGATGATGATGATGATGATGATGATGATGATGATGATGATGATGATGATGATGATGATGATGATGATGATGATGATGATGATGATGATGATGATGATGATGATGATGATGATGATGATGATGATGATGAGGATGATGATGAGGTAGGAGGGATGGACGGTGGCACAGCACAGCAAGGAAGGGGCTGGTTTATGTGTCACCTGTTACTAAGCCGTGCTCAGGCTTTTCTGGTGGTGGCCCTGGGCAGATGGGGTGGGGAGGAGAAGAGGGGAGCAATGGGGATGGTGCTGACGATTAGAGGGAGAATGGGGATGGTGCTGACGATTAGAGGGAGAATGGGGAGAATGGTGTCCGTGAATTTGTAGGTTTGACTAGGTGTGACTTGGGTCGACCTGGGTTGGATGGACCTCTGAAAGTTGGCCCCTGGCTAACAAATTCAGATTAATTTACTTCAGAATACAACAAATGCTACGGAAACCCTCTTACGGAAGTAAATTAATTTGAATGGTTGCTGTATTCTGCAGGTTATACAGCTAATATAGGGTCTAACTACCGTATTCTCTAATATAGGGTCTAACTACCGTATTCTCCCGGATAAAACACCCCCCCGTAATTGTACACCCCCGGGTAGCTAATACGGGGTGGGTGTTATATCTGACCCCGTTTGTACTATACCCCCCCTTTTGGGGTGATTTTCTAGAACACCCCCCTTTTCTTATAGATTCATATTATAGCTGTTATCGAGTCCGATTCCTTACGGTAAGATATCGCGAGAATTGCTCCCTTGGTGAAATTTCGCGTGTACTTTCACTTAGAATCTGCCAAGATTTCCCCCCTCCCACAATCTCGCTGTCGCCACGCTGGCGAATCTTCCGCTACAAGTGGCCCAATAGGTGAAAATCAGGGCGTATCTTTGGTTTGGGTCCTGGCACTGTTCATCTTACTGTTTGGGTCATGCGGAAATTGCGCATGACCCAAAGTGGCCGTCTGAAGCGCGGAATAGGTGGCGTTTTGTGCTGTTTGGGTCATGCGGAAAACGCGTATGACCCAAAGTAGCCTTATGACCCGAACCAAAGATATGCCCTCACCTTCTCACATGAGGCACAGACACGTGACCAAACCAGTCAAGAAGTGACTGGTACAGTAAGAACGCACCACTGTGCGCGATTCTGGCCTCGGCGGTTGCATGAACCCTCGCCACGCAATTGGCTTTGTTTTCACCCTATCAAGTGCCAGAATTGCCCACTCGAATTTGCCACGTGGCAGATTCCAGTGGGCAATCACGCTATCCTCGTATACTCGGTTTTGTGGCACTGGTCAACACTCTTGAAGTGGAGTCAGGCCCCTGATTTTGTTTCACATCTTTTCTACTTGATAAAAAAATATACCATATAATAAGACCCGGGAATTATGTAGGATTTTCCTTTGAGGAGACCCCCCCCATTTTTTCCCAGTGGTTTTCATAATACCCTAGGGTGTTTTATCCGGGAGAATACGGGTAAACCTGACACACGATCACACCACGTACAATTACACTTATTGAGAAAGCTTGCTTTCTTGTCCTTATAATTTGGCATCGTTCTCATTGCAACTGTCATCGTTCTCATTGCAACTGGCTTATTACAACATATGCATCGTTCGTAAACACATGCTAGTACATGCAAATATTACTAGCTATGGAGTCGTCCGTCCAAGCAGCTGTGGTCTTGTAGTTGGTCCGGGGTGGGTGGTGGGGATGTTGATTGAGCCGTTGGAAAACGAGAAACGTGGGTGGAGGGAATGAACTCCAACCCACGGTTTTTGTAGTTGGAGAAGGGCGTTTAGCGCGCTTCGACGCTGCCAAATATTCGGTACAGTCAGCTTCGCTTTCACAATACACAATTTTGAAAAACATCAATGTGTTTAAAAATTATAATATTGAGAAAGCTTGCTTTCTTGTCCTTATAATTTGGCATCGTTCTCATTGCAACTGGGGCCTCTGAGACATGGCCAGTGGTGGCTTGCGGTTGCGTAAGAGTGCCTCTGCGTGCTGTTCTGGGGGCAGCGCGTATGTCGGGTCCTGTAGGTCGCGGGATGCCTTGATAAGATGTCCGACGTATGGTGTGACGTACATCTCTTTGGCGGTGTCACTTCGCCACCTGCCCATCCTTTTGAAGATTCTGTCCGGCACGCCGATGTTGGCGGCTACGGTTGCCGCGCCCTTTCGGAAGGAGTGCGTGCCGAGCTGCTGCTCCCCAAGTCCTACACCAGTTTCGGATCGTTGTGTACGAGGGTGGCTTGGCCTGGCCCTTGTTGGCTGAAGCGTGGCTGAAAACGCGAATCAACGACCCCTCGGAATGAGGGCCATAGCCAGCGAGTTGGAGGAAGCGTTGGGTGCAGCGCACGGGGCAACAAGGGTCCGTCGTTGCGGCGATGGGAATCCAGGTTCCACGACCAGCCTGGTCCGTTTTTGAGTGTGGGATGAGGATCCACATGACTGCATCGTCGAATTGGATGTCTTGCCACTGGATGGCAACGAGGTCGGAGTATCGCAAAAATCCGGAGTACATGAGGATAGGGATCAACCCCTTCTGAAATTCAGCGGGATTGTCCGACTGCAAGTAGTTCGCGGACATGTCCCGAACTTGTTGGATTGATACGGGCTCCTTCAAACGACTAGGGCGAGGGCAGTGTCGTTTCGCGTAGTCCCGCACTTGGGTGGTAAACGGTCCGACAGTCGGGCATTTGCTTCCAGTCATGCGATGGGCGAAGCTGACTGCCGAGCACGTGAGCTGCACTACAGACAAGGTTGCTTTGCGTTGGATTGCATGCACCAAGTATAGCGCGAGGGTCATGTCGGATGCGGGAAGAAATGGAAGATCCACCTTTGTGCAGAAGGCCCGAAACTTGGCCCAGTACGGTTCGTATGTACGGATTGTCGAATTCGCTCGCGATTGTGTGAGCATGTTGATGAGTTGGTTGTGTAGCTTTGGGAGCGGATCTGGACACAAGGCGCGTACATTCTCAATTAGTCAAAAACCACCCGAAGTGCGATGATTGGGCTGTGTGGTAATCCAGTGCCTGAAAAAGCAGCGGAATGTGTTCCAGCTGCCAGGCATTGGCTGCCGTGTGTCAAGGGAATGTGCGCGTGGATGTACGGTGCCCAGTTGCGTGGGGAAGGTTGTAAAAGTGGCCACCAGTTTGCACCCGGCCAGTGTGGGATGATCAATGTGAGCGATGCACGGGTGCGCTGTGCGTGATGGAGGACGGCCGGAACTAAATGGGGCGGGGGGAACGCAAAGCTATTTTCTGATGTCCATGCGAGCGAGAATGCATCGACTGCGGTGGCTTGTGGATGAGGAATTTTAGTGCAGAAGCGTGGCAGCTGGGAGTTGCGGGAGTTTGCAAAGAGGTCGATGGAATGGGGACCCCAACGCCGTTCTAAGATGCGGAACCACGGCGTCTTCAACGAGTAGTCGTCATGATCGACTGCTTTTGAGAGCTCATCGGCGTGTGAGTTTAGCTCCCGTGGGATCCATTCGATGATTAGACGCGTGCCGTGCTCCATGCATAGTCGAATGATGTCTTGGCAGGCCGTGGTAAGGTCGGGGCTGCGCGAGCCACCTTTGCGAAGGATGAAGAAGACGCCCTGATTGTCCACCCGCACAAGAACATGTTTGTGCGTGATCTTGCTGGAGTATGTTTGGAGTGCCCAAAGCACACCTTCGATCTCCCTCCGTGTGCTGGACGTCGCTCGCAGCGGCTCTGGCATTGTTGCGCTAGCTTCTTCGAGGCCGCCAGGAAATGTGGTCAAAGTGGCGCCCCAACTGTGAGCGCTAGCATCCACATGGATGACAGCGTCGTAGCTGTTTCGAACGTGAAACGGTGCACCGTTGAACCTGTCAACTCTTCGAGCCAGAAGTTTAGCTCCTCAGCCGCGTTTGGGGGGATGATCACGCTGCTTTTCCATGAAGGTGCGTCATTGATCACTTGTAGCATGGCGTGGCTGAAAGCACGAGCTGTTGCGCCCAGCGCGACGCCCATTGACGCGAGCATGCCTGTGATTCTGGCCACTTGGCGGACTGAGACGGGTCGACATGCCTTGCTTGCGCTCAACAGGTTCCGAATGGTTGCATGTAGTGAGGCTCGTCGTTCGGGACCGATGGTAAATCGGCCTGTGGCCGTGTCTAGCTCCACACCCAAGAATCGAAGGTGTTGCGATGGTGACAGCTGTGATTTCTTCGCATTTATCACCAAACCTGCTGCTTTAAGGTCCAGTATTACACGGTGGCAAGTAGCCTGCGCGTGAGCTTTTGACTGGCAAAGGAATAAGATGTCGTCCACGTATGGTACTACTCGGATGCCTTGCTCCCGCCAGCGACGGGCTAGCTGCTTGATGAGTTGCGTGAAGATGAATGGGGCTGTCGCAAGACCGAACGGCAATGAACGAAAGGAGTAAGTGCGCCCATCGAATCCAAAACCGAGAAACTTCCAGCATGAAGGATGGATATCGATGTGATGGTACCCGGATTTGAGATCAATAGAAAACATCCAATCCCCAGCGCGTGCCACGTCTGCCACACGGCTGAGTCCTTCGTACTTGAATTTTGGGACGATGAGGTTCGTGTTGACTTTTCTCAGGTCGAGGATGAGCCTGCATTTTTCTTTCTGCTCGACCACGTTAAGTGGGCTTATGCACGTAAGCTCGCTTGCGGCTGTCTCGACTGCAGCTCCGGTCTCTGTGAGTTCTTGGATGGCAGTACGTGTGAACGACGCATGCGCGTATGCACCAGCGTGGTTACGCTCCCGAAAGGCCTGTGGTGGGCCGTGGCTCCATGGAAGCCACTAACCGTTGGCGATGATGGATAGGACGAGGCTGCAAGGGCACCATGAGCTCCACCACGCAAAGGTCGAGCGAAGCCGACCGCACATCCGTGTGACGGTTTTGTCCGTGACGGCGAATTCGTACGGGCCATCGTCGCGAGGCACCTCGTATTGTTGTGCTCCTGTATGTACGGCAAGGAAATGAACGCGAACAATCAGGTTGCACGCCTTACTTAGTTCATGCGTGTGACATATACATGCATGCGCGAAAAATGAACCGTCAACAGTGAGGACCATACGGACGGTTTGTCGTCATTCCATATAGGGCGTCCGATCGCACCTTGGCAAACTCTTTCTCATACTCTCTCCTTTTCCCTCCCCTCGTTTTTTTTTTTTTTTTTTTCTGGAGGATTGATGCTTGGGACCATGATCATGCTTCCCTCGTGTGCTCTCTCTCTCTCTCTCTCTCTCTCTCTCTCTCTCTCTCTCTCTCTCTCTCTCTCTCTCTCTCTCTCTCTCTCTCTCGCTCTTTCTCTCTCCCTCTCTTTTTGGATGTGTTTCCATTGTTGTTTGAGCATTTGCATGCTTCGCTTGTCATGAGCTCGTGTCTTTTCGCGCGTGCCTTTACTTGGGCTAGGCGACATCGCTATGCCCTACTCCCCCCCCCTTGCTCCTTCTCACCCTTTTTGGGCTTCCAACGGTTGAACCAGGGCTGCTCATCCTTGCCATGCATGGTGGCGGTTTGAGTGAGGAGCGTACGTACTCTCTTTTTCTCCCTCTCCCCTTCTCCTCCTTTTTTTTTTTTTTTTTTTTTTTTTAATCCGTGACAAACAAGAGGGGCCTTTAATAAAATCCCTATCTCTCATGGTCATACATTGTCATGCCTACTAGCATGTTTCTCATCCCATCAATTGGGGCATACGGGGGACCGAGAGGCATTCTTCCTCTTCCCCAAAGCTAGACCTACGGCCATACTTTATTACCCTATCCTAAGGGACCGAGAGGCATTCTTCCTCTTCCCCAAAGCTAGGCCTATGGCCAACTTCTACCACCCTATCCTAGGGCTGGCCATGGCCACCGCAAGCCCTACTAGGCTGCCCACGGTCTAAGCACTCAAAAGTGCACCGTGCATCGCGCCTAGAGGCGCGCTTCACCATAGCCCGAACCTTACACAACCGGTGCGGGTCCTTGGCCCCCATGCCCATTCCGAGGGCAGGCATTGGCGACGTGGCCTGGCTGTCCGCAGCGGAAACACGAACCACGAAAGCCTTGGAAGTTGCCCGAGGTTGGAGGGCCACGTTTTGGGGCGAACGCCTTGGCGCCGTGGTTTCCACCACGGTGGGAGCGAGCGTGAGCGCCCGCCGCTCGGTCCATGGCAGCCACGTCCGCGACGGCTTGCTTGAACGGCCGCGAGGTGAGAAGGCTTTTCTCCAGGTACATCTTGTAGCGCTTGGCAACGCGGTCGTCGGATGCGTCTTCGACTTGAAACATGTCGAAGCGCGCGGAAATGTCGTCGAGGGCGGCGACGACCATTTCGAGTCCGCCCGCCGAGTCGCCGTGCTGCAGCTTGTGCTCTGCGTGTTTCAGGTAGGCCCGCATGTCCTCCAGAATCTCCGCTTTCGCCCGCACGTGCTCGTCGTTGAACGTCGCCGCCGACCAAGTGGTGTTAGTAGTAGAGGGGAGGGGGGGAAGATGCTCCATGGAATGAAAATTTGCGGTATGGACCGGAGCCTCACCATCATCGTCGTCGGAGCCGTCGGTGTCGTTGTCGGCCGCTGGCGCAGGTGGGATGCTGGCTGGTGCTTCCTTGTTGTGCCGGTTCGCCGTTGTTCCTCGCGCTCCTTTTTCTTTTTTTGCGTTTTCCTTGTTAGCAGATGCAGACGCCGCGGGTTGTGCAATTTCCGTAGCTGTAACGCTGGCGGGTTGTTGCTGTAACAGGGACAGAAGCGCAGCGACCTGGTCCGGAGTCAACGCGTTGGTCAACGCCGGGGTCGTCGCGTCAGAAGAAGTCGATGTTCGGCGCCTCTGGCGCTGACGCGACGGTCCAGCCACAGGCGCCGGCGTGTGCTCCGCGTCAGGCGCGTGTGGCACCCCAGGTGCTGCAGGTGCCGCCGTCGCCACTTGCGCCACACGCGCCTCAGGCGCCACAGGCGCCACAGGCGCCACAGGGGCCGAGGGGTGCTGCTGCTGGGGCGGGCTCGAGTTTTTGTTGACCTCGAGCCCGCCCAACAGCACGTCCACGGCAGTTGGGGCGGGCGATCCTTCCTCTGCCCGCCGCTTGTTACGGCGATCGCCCGTCATTTCTCGGGCGTTACGGTCGGAGTCGGAAACCGGCGCAGACGAATTGACGCGGTTAAGTGCCGGCGTAGACGCCATTGTAGATCGATTGTGGTTGAAAATGTCTTGCAGAAGTGTTGAGGGTGACTCGCCTCTGGGAAGGGTGCGAGTTCTAGCCAGCTTGGACGGGGAAAAGAACTACTCGAACGGAAATGTTGATTGAGCCGTTGGAAAACGAGAAACGTGGGTGGAGGGAATGAACTCCAACCCACGGTTTTTGTAGTTGGAGAAGGGCGTTTAGCGCGCTTCGACGCTGCCAAATATTCGGTACAGTCAGCTTCGCTTTCACAATACACAATTTTGAAAAACATCAATGTGTTTAAAAATTATAATTTTCTGAAGGTTTCTAAGCAAGTGCAATCAAGCCAAGTTGAGAAGAGATAATGTTGTTGCTCTATGTGCCACAGCATGTAAAACTAGACATAGACCAGAGCGGCTACAGAATGTGCAATGTGCACTATAGCTCTATTTGGTTATTCAGTCTGTCTAACAGAGACTGACAGTGCACTAAAGCTCTATTTGGTAGCTGAGCGCTCGAGACGAGTGGCCCCGTGTGGACTGCATTATGACAATACCGAGGTACGTTGTAGCAAGGACTGCTACAGTGATTCCAAATAAGATGTTCCAAACCTGCACATGGAAGGGATTGGGGCAAAGAGTGAAGGACATGGTGCGGTAATTGAGGGGAGGTGGAATGGCTTCTGAGGCGTCTAAAAAGTCAAAAGCTGCAACTAAACCTGCTAGCGGGCAGCAGGAGGTTGGACAAGGAGTGGTGAGGCACAGAGCGGGTTGGATAAGGAAAGGCGAAATGTGAAGATAAGGTTTCGTGAAACCCATGCCCACCCATGCCCACCCATGCCCACCCCTGCCCACCCCCTGCCCACCCCCTGCCCACCCCCTGCCCACCCCTGCCCACCCCCTGACCACCCCCTGCCCACCCCCTGCCCACCCCCTGCCCACCCCCTGCCCAGCACTGCCAGAACTAGCAGGCCACGTGCAAACCGCGATGACAGCCTGCTACTAGCTCCCTTGTCCCGCCGCAGAAACCCCAGCACCCCCAGAAACCTCTAAAAAGCTCGCCCCTACACCCCTCCAGTTCCCTCACCAACACAACACTGACCTGAACAGACGAGAAGAAGACGATGCCGTAAAGCTTCAGGCCTGAGAAGGCATTGGCCCGCCCCATGCCCAGCACTGCCAGACCTAGCAGCCCATGCGCAAACCTACAACCCCCCACACCCCCCAACAAACCCCACTGTTTTGAATACATAGTACATACCGTGACAGACGAGAAGAAGATGATGCAGTAGAGCTTCAGGCCGGAGAAGGCATTGGCCCGCCCCATGCCCAGCACCGCCAAACCTAGCAGCCCATGCGCAAACCGCCATGACAGCCAACAACCCCCAACAAACCCCAGTGTTTTGACTACATATATGGTACATACCGTGACGAGTCGGTTTTTGAGTCGACTCAAAAACCGACTCACCCTACGTACATACCGTGACAGACGAGAAGAAGATGATGCCGTAGAGCTTTAGCCCTGAGAAGGCATTCGTCCACCCCATGCCCAGCACTGCCAGACCTAGCAGCCCATGCGCAAACCGCCATGACAGGCGGTTACTAGCTCCCTTGTCCGGCCGCAGAAACCCTAACACTGGCTGCACCAGCACCAGCAGCAGCACCACGAGGCCCATCTGACCGTGCGATTGGCTCAGGCCGTCCGATCCGACGGCTGCGAACGCGAGCGTGCAGCCGAGGAGGCAGCAGAGGAGGGCTGAGAGGTTTAGGTATTGATGGTAGGAGAGGGCGTGGAGTTGGAGGTTTGGGAGGAAGGAGAGAGAGGGGAGGAAGGGGTGGGGCTGGAGGAGGGATGCGCTGGTGGTGGGGGAGAGAGGGGGGGAGAGAGGAGGGGAGGCGTCAGGAGGAGCGGCGGGACGGAAGGAGGAGGAGGAGGAGGAGGAGGGGGCGTTGGTGGTGGGGGGGGAATCTCGCAGCAGCTGCTGCTGCTGCTTTTGGATCAACCCAGACGCCATTTCGGACGATCCTTGAGAATCATCAAAACGTAGAGATGGGTCTGACCCGCTGGTTCCAGCATCAGGATCGTGGGAGTGAGATGAGTAGTGGGAGGAGGAGTGGTGGGAGGAGGAGTGGAGGAAGGGGAGCGAAGAGGGGCCTGAGAGGAAGAGGCGGGCAACGAGGATTGCGGAGGGCATGAGAAGGAAGAAAGCGAGAGAGAGGAAGACCGCGTGGGCTATCAGCGCGGAGGAGGTGGAGGAAGAGTAGGAGGAGGAGGAGGAGAAGGAGGAGGAGGAGGAGGAGGAGGAGGAGGAGGAGGAGGAGGAGGAGGAGGAGGAGGAGGAGGAGGAGGAGGAGGAGGAGGAGGAGGAGGAGGAGGAGGAGGAGGAGGAGAGAGGGGAAGATGAAAGAGAGGTGGAGGGTGACGAGGAGGAAGGAGGGAAAGAGGAGGAAGAGGGTGAGGAAGGGGAGGTGGATAACGGAGGAGAGGTGGAGGGGGAGGAGGGGGAAGCAGGTGGGGAGGAGGTTGAGGAGTGTTTGGAGTCGCCTGTTATGATGTCGATTACGGTGGCGCCCCTGTTATGATAGGTGCAGAGCGGTGGAGTATGACGAAAGAAAGGAAGAAAGGAAGGAGAAACGAGAGATTATGTAAAACGAGAGGTGAAGAATGCAAGGGGGGAAGGAAGGACGAGGGGAGGAGGTGGAAAGGAGGAGAAAGAGGGGATGTGTGAAAAAGAGGGGCTAAGAAGCCTTTATGCACAAATGAGCACATGCAGACATGCATATGCCACACATGCAGACATGCATATGCCACACATGCAGGCATGCATATGCCACACATGCAGACATGCATATGCCACACATGCAGACATGCATATGCCACACATGCAGACATGCATATGCCACACATGCAGACATGCATATGCCACACATGCAGACATGCATATGCCACACATGCAGACATGCATATGCCACACATGCAGACATGCATATGCCACACATGCACCCACCTGTTCTGCATGTGGAATTCGAGGTTCTGCGACCCATCCCCCGCGTACGCCCATATGATGTTGGCCAGCCCATTCTCGTGCATCGGGTTCATGCCCGCTCCAAACACACGCTCGAACCTGACGGCAAGATGGGTGAAGGGAGGAAAGGTCACAGAGGCAACATATGCAGGAGCAGGAAACAAATGGTACGAATTTTGAGGTGCCTCGAAAGCCATATGATGCTGGCCAGCCCATTCTCATTCATCGGGTTCATGTCTGCTCCAAGCACACGCTCGAACCTGCGGGAAAGACGGGCGGAGAGAGGATAGATCACAGGGGCAGCACATGCAGGAGCAGGAATCGCATGCAGGCCCATGTGATGTTGGCTGGATCATTCTCGTGCATCGATCGAGTTCAGGCCTCAGTCTTGTTCCTGCTCCAAACAACATCACATGGAACACGACCGAGGCATCGATCGAGTTCAGGCCTCAGTTTGTTCCTGCTCCAAACAACATCACATGGAACACAACCGAGGCATCGATCGAGTTCAGGCCTCGGCCTTGTTCCTGCTCCAAACAACATCACATGGAACACAACCGAGGCACTCGAAACAAGGCATGTCGAACCAGACCACTACGTACCAAATGAGAACGCCCCCACTGCCGGCGGCATCCCCATGCCCGTTGCCCCGTACGGCAGGTTGCCTATGGCAGTGCGTTTCAGCACGTTTCAGTGAGTCTCAGTGTGCCTCAGTCAATGCACACCCAACGAAATCAATCCAGGAAACCACCAATCACCAGCTTACCAAATGAGTGTCCTGCCATTGACAGTTGCAACGCCGCTTTTGGCGGCTCGAAACAGCTCAGACAGGCTAATCGACTCTCGGCTGTACCCCCCGATAGAGAACGCCCCCACTGCCGGCATGCCCATGCCCGTTGCCCCGTATGGCAGGTTGCCTATTGCGGCATCGCTGCCGGCCATGCGGCCCATGCGGGACCAGCCGAGGGCCACCCAGCCTGTTGTGGCTGCATCGGCTGCGAGAGAGACTGAGGCCTTGTTGACCCGCCAGTGCAGGATGAAGCTGGGAGAGGGGTGAGGGAGAGGGGCGTTGCGAACAGAAAGACGAGAATGGGTGAAGGATTGGCAGTTATAGTGCGGGCAGGGCAGGAAAGGGTAGCAGCAGATTACAGCTAGCAGGTAACCGGTTGCCAATGGCGGCATCGCTGCCGGCCATGCGGCCCATGCGGGACCAGTCGAGCCCCACCCAGCCTGTCGTGGCTGCATCGGCTGCGAGAGAGACTGAGGCCTTGTTGACCCTCCAGTGCAAGATGAAACTGGGAGGGGCGAAGGGGGGATGGGGGGGTTGCAAAGGGGTGGGGAGAGAAGAGGTGGAGTGGTTTGAATTGGCTGCTAGGGCGATTGCGGCCTTGATGACTCGCCAGTGGAGGCTGAAACTAGGGTGGGGGTTGGGGGGAGATGGAGCGTGCAAAGGGGTGGAGGGGGGTTGGAGTGATTAGAGATGGCTGCGAGGGCGATTGAAGCCTTGTTGACTCGCCAGTGCAGGATGAAACTGGGAGGGGGGATTGGCAATGGAGAGGGGTCACAGGCAACGCCACGCAGTGTTGGCGGGGCCACAGGGGGGTGGCGAGGGGGGCTTTCTAGGAACGCACTCAAGCATATGGTTAGAATGCAAAGGAAAAACTGGAGAGTGGAACTCACTTGCTGCCTCGGAGTTGGCGCGAGCAGGTGTGTCCCGGCAGGGGAGAGGGGTCACAGGCAATGCCGCGCTGTGCTGGAGGGGCCACAGGGGGTGGCGAGGGGGCTTTCTAGGAAGGCACTCAAGCATGTGGTTAGAAAGGGAGGGTGGTACTCTAACGGCAAGGCAAGAAAGGGCGCTACTCACTCGCTGCCTCGTATTTCGAGACGTCTCAAAACACTCCTTTGTTCACGAGTGGCGGCAGCCCCACCCCATGGTTTTTGAGACGTCTCAAAACACTCCTTTGTTCACGAGTGGCGGCAGCCCCATGGTTTTTGAGACGTCTCAAAACACTCCTTTGTTCACGAGTGGCGGCAGCCCCATGGTTTTTGAGACGTCTCAAAACACTCCTTTGTTCACGAGTGGCGGCAGCCCCATGGTTTTTGAGACGTCTCAAAACACTCCTTTGTTCACGAGTGGCGGCAGCCCCATGGTTTTTGAGACGTCTCAAAACACTCCTTTGTTCACGAGTGGCGGCAGCCCCATGGTTTTTGAGACGTCTCAAAACACTCCTTTGTTCACGAGTGGCGGCAGCCCCATGGTTTTTGAGACGTCTCAAAACACTCCTTTGTTCACGAGTGGCGGCAGCCCCACCCCATGGTTTTTGAGACGTCTCAAAACACTCCTTTTCTAACGGCAAGGCAAGAAAGGGCGCTACTCACTCGCTGCCTCGTAGCTGCTTCGAGCACGTGTATCCCGGCAGGGGGGAGGGGTCACAGGCAACGCCACGCAGTGTTGGGGGTGCCACAGGGGGGCGGCTGGTGGGGGAGGTGCAGGAGTAGTCCAGAAGCAATGCGCCACTGCGAGGGGAGGAGGAAGAAGGGGGAACGGGGATGGGGCGGTAGCAGGGATAGGAATGAGAACACCGCAGGGCGGGTAGGGGGGGCGGTGCAGGAGTAGTCCAGAAGCAATGCGCCACTGCGAGGGGAGGAGGAGGGATGGGGGGAGAGGAAGAGGAAGAAAAGAGAGGGGAAGAGAAGAGAAAGGAGACAAGGCGACAGAGTGACAAGCTGAGCCCAGAGGGTGAGTAGTCCAGGAGGGTGGAGAGGGGATGTGAAGGGCCGGCGACTCGGCGAGGACGGGGGGGGGCGGAAGAGTCCAGGTGCAATCCGCCAGTGGGGGGGAAGGGAAAGTCGTGGGGAAGAAGGAGAAAGCAGAGAATAAAGGGGTGAGTAGTCCAGGAGGGTGGCGAGGGGATGAGAAGGGTCGGTATGTGTGGTGTTGTGCACGCATGTGTGTGCACGCGTGTGTGTGTGAGTGCGTGCGTGTCTGTGCGTGCGCGCGCGCGTGAGTGTGCACGCATGCCTGTATGCATGGCAGTGAGGGGAGGGTCACACTGCCATACCGATTTGGTCCATGGTAGAGCGGCGTGGGCGAGTTGTCAGGCGAGTGCGCCCAGAGAATGACGTTGGAGGCATCGAGAGCCAGAGGCACCGCTGCTATGTCGCCTGCCGCCCTCTGAAACCTGAGGGGATGGCGCAAGGGGAGGGAGGGGGGCAGGGAGGGGCGTGGGCGAGTTGTCAGGCGAGAGCCAGAGGCACGGCCGCTACGCCACCCACTGCCCTCGTGAACCTGAGGGTGAGAAGGGGGGGACGGGCGCAGGGGGAGTGAGGGGAGCAGAGAGCAGAGCCAGGAGCAGGCAGAGAATGACGTTGGAGGCACCTTGTGTGCCAGAGGCACCGCCGCTACAACGCCTGCTGCCCTCGTGAACCTGATGGGAGGGAGGGAGGGGAGCAGAGAGAGAGTTGACTTCTGAGTCGACTCAAGGGGAGTGCGCCCAGAGAATGACGTTGGAGGCACCTTGTGCCAGAGGCACCGCCGCTACAACGCCTGCTGTTCTCGTGAACCTGAGGGCGGGGCGGGCACAGGGAGAGGGGAGGAGGGAGTGAAGCAGGGAGGAGAAGAAGAAGGATAGAAGTAGGGTTAGGATGAGAGCCGGTAGTTTAGTAGGGAGAAAAGCAGGTAGGAGGAGGTGGTAAGAGGGAACGAAGGATAAGAGGGGGATAGCAAGGAGGGGATAGCGAGGAGGAACGCAGGGAGTCACTTTTGAGAATTCTCAACAGGGAGGAGGTTGTACGAGTGATTGTGACAGATAGCTCCAGGTGACTTTTGAGTCGACTCAAAAGTCACTTTTGAGAATTCTGAACAACACCCTTCTCAACAGGGAGGAGGTTGTAGGAGTGATCGTGAGAGATATAGCTCCAACCTCTGCATCCCCACACCCGAGGTGACTTTTGAGTCGACTCAAAAGTCAAGGACGAACGCAGGGAGGAGGTTGTATGAGTGATCGTGAGAAATAGTTCCAGCCTCTGCATCCCCACACCCACTCCCACCCACCTACACCTAGTTCCACCTGACTCCACACCCCATGCCATCCGCATTTCGTCCTCCCTTCTCCCCTCACTATAGTCGACCCCCTTGCATTAACAGACCCACTCCAGTTCGTCTTGCTGTATGAAAGCCAGACAGACAGCCCATGCCCATGCGCATGCCCATGCCCATGCCCATGCCCATGCCCATGCCCATGCCCATGCCCATGCCCATGCCCATGCCCATGCGCATGCCCATGCCCATGCCCATGCCCATGCCCATGCCCATGCCCATGCCCATGCGCATGCCCATGCCCATGCCCATGCCCATGCCCATGCCCATGCCCATGCCCATGCGCATGCCCATGCCCATGCCCATGCCCATGCCCATGCCCATGCCCATGCGCATGCCCATGCCCATGCCCTCTGCTACCTCTCTCCCATCCAGCTTTGGAACACCCACACCCAACCTAGAAATTGCCCCTGCGCGTCCCCCCTCCCCGCTCACCTCACGATGGTCGACCCCCTCGGATTCACAGTCACACTCCAGTTCGCCTTGCTGTATGAAAGCCCGTGCTCCATCCAGCTTTGAAACACCCATCCTAGACTCATATTACGCACCCATCCCCAATCCCCCCTCCCCTCCCACCCATCCCCATCCCCATTACCCTCTCACCTGACAATAGTCGACCCCCTCGGATTCACAGTCACACTCCAGTTTGTCTTGCTGTATGAAAGCCCGTGCTCCATCCGCTGCATCCCCTCTACAGAGTACCCCGCTATATGCACAGCCATAAGCGGTCCTGTAGCCTTCAGCCCTCCCCCTGCCGCGTTGGCGAGTATGGCATCGCTGCCTGCCATTCGCCCGTCCCACGACCAGCCAATCGCAAGCCAGCCTGCCTCCGCGCCGCTCTCCGGCTTGGCCTCCAGTGCCACGTGGATTGATGACGTGGCAGGGTGGACGGTCCAGTGGAGGAGGAGGCTGGGAGGGATGGGGTGTGGGAGAGTGTAGGAGTGTGTGAGAGAGTGGGAGAGGGTGTAGGATAGTGGGAGCGTGTGAGAGTGTGGGAAGTGTGGGAGAGTGTAGGAGTTTGTCAGAGAGTGGGAAGTGTGGGAGAGTGGGAGTGTGTGAGAGGTTGAAGATGCAAAGCAAGGGGAGAAATAGGATATGGGCAAGAAAACGACGACGGGGAGAAATAGAGGAATAGAAGCAGATGAGGGGAAACAAAACAACTGGGGAGAAGCAGATGAGGTGGCACATTCAAGTTGAATCAGTCGCAGCCACGTAAAGATATGGCTCCTATCTGGGGCTCCAGCAGACGAGGGGAAACAAAACAACTGGGGAGAAGCAGAGGAGGGCCAGAGAAAGAGGGGAGAGGGAAAAAGACAAACAAAGCAACCTCTAACGCACCTGCCACCTGACGCATCAAATCCCAAAAGCCACGTGGCACTCACCCGTTGGTGGAGAGCTGCGTGGAGTGCGTGTACCCGCCCAACGTGGACGGCTGGCATCGCGCCACTTGTAACACGCTGCTGACCGTCGCCCATTGGCTGGTTTCTTGCAGCATTCTCGAGCCGCCAGTGTCCGCCTCCCATTGGTTGGTTTCTTGCGGCATTCTCGAACCGCCAGTGTCCGCTTCCCATCGATCGCTGGCGGCATTGTCACGAATCAGACCCGAGACGCCATGCTGACTCGCTACGCTTTCGAAAAAACTCCCTTTTCTGAATCCCTGTGCCAAGCTACTGCTGCCCTTAAGCTGACTCGATAAGGAATCGCGAGACGCGGCTAAAGCGCGTAAATCCGGTGAATGCGGAGAAATAAAAACGAGCAGCAAGTGGAAGAGCGAGAGGACAGGCAGTAACAACCGTCGACGGTGAATAATGTGGTCGAAATGAGTTCGATTCGCCATGGCGAGTTTACGGGCTCGACCAGTAGTACCGATAGTAAGCATCAGTAGTGGCGTCACAACAAATTATAAGCTAGATTCCCAAACTAATTATTTTATTACCGCTGCTTTAGCTGCATTGCTAGTCTGACGGAACTTGAAAGACAACACCAGAGCTTACTAGATTTAGGATGCAACGTGAAGCATTGCGAGCTAGAAATGCCGTCCGAAAATAATTCGGCAGTCATGGTCGTTGGCTGCAATCGTCGGCAATTCCGAGGGCTCGCGATTTTCGGTTCACAACCACGCGATTGCTTCCCGAAAGGTTACCATAAGTAAGCAACATGATGCCAATAACCCTGATCGTAACAACTCTGGATGATATATTTTCTTGAGTTGATATTAAACAATTCATGTCAAATCAAGTTAAGGGCATCTATCATTATTATGCCCGGCTAGCATATGCACTGTACTGAGGCCCTTCTGATTTGCTTTTCTCAAGCTGGTCGCGGCATACGAAGAGCATGTACACAATGACAAACACTGCCATTATGATGCCTAAAAATGCTTTGAGGCCCTGCAATGCACCACACGCGGAAGGAAACTTGAGCTCAACCAGCAAAAAAGGAATCAAAACTTAACAGGGTATAACAATAACAAGAGCCACGAACCATACTAATAATGCAAGGAGCCGCCCCTTTGAACTTGTGGCACAACTGAAAAGAAATGACAAACTCACAAATGGATCACTTCCGATGAAGCTGAAGTATAGGTTCATCCCGAGGAATATATTCGCCCATCCCATCACCACCGCCGCAATCCCAACCGTCCAATGCATCCAGTGCCACGTGGTCTTTGTCCACATGGCAAACTGCGGTTGGTCAATTCCTCCATTCCTGTTGTTGCGCGGGCGGAGGAAAATGACGAGTGGTTGGCAGACGAGGAGGAGGATGAGGACAGCAATGCCGACCCACGCGTGGGTGTGACTCAAGCCGTGAGTCCCAGATGAGACAAACGCTGTGATGCACCCGATGAAGATACAGACAAGAGCAGCCACTTGCAGATACTTGTGCCATGCAAACCAGAACGCTCGGCTCTGCTGCAGCTGTGAAATCATATCCCTCCCCTCCTGCCGCCGCTGCTGGGCTGCACGTGCTGACGTGGCACCCTGTGCACCAGCCACGTCAGCAGCTGACTCAGCATGGGCAAAACTAGCCATGCTGGCATCTAGCTGGGCGTTGGCTTCAGCAAGCCGAAGCGGGCCAGTGTGCGTGACTCTACCCAACGGGACTGTACCGAGGCCACTACTGCTGCTGCTGCTGGTGCTCGTACGACAGTTTTCGTCGTTTCCAGGAAGGTTCACGAGGCAGATCCGGGCAAGGAGGATGGCGGAGGGCATGAGGATGAGGAGAGCAGTGATGAGACAGATGGCATGGGCTATGATGGCTGGCTTGTTCAAGTGCGGAGGGGCGGAGGCGGAGGGGGAGGAGGGGGGTGGAGAGGCAGTGATCGATTCTCCTGTGACCAGGTTGATAGACACTGCACCCCTGTTGAGGGAGGAGAGAAGGGGGAGGGGAAGGCAAGCAAGACAAGGACCATTTGAGGGGAGAAGAAGAGTTTGCTCAGTTTCACAAGGGGCAGATGCGGGCAAGGAGGATGAGGAGGGCAGGAGGATGGAGGAGGGCAGTGATGAGGAGGGCAGTGATGAGGCAGATGGCTATGAAGGCTATGAGGCATGGGCTATGAAGGCATGGGCTATGATGGCTGACTTGTTGAATTGAAGTGAGGAGGGGGCGAGGTGGCGAAAGGGGAGTATGGGGAGGCGAGTTGATTCCATATCCGGTTGAGCCCATTTCCCCAATGCCACTCCCCAGGAGGCTTCTGGGAACCTCACCTGTTGTTTCCGTGGAAGGTGAGCTTCCTGGAACCTTCGTTGGAGTACGCCCAGATGATGGTTGCCACGTCAGCAGCGGAAAGCGGCAACTGTCCGTTCACTAGTGGCCGCTCAAACCTGCATGATGGGGGGGGGAAATGGGGGGGAGAGGTGAGGTGGGGGGGCCATGCGGAAGAGAGGTGACTTGACAAGTCATACACTAATTTGACAAGAAAAGCCAGATGAAAAAAAACATTTTTAGAGCACGCAGACTCACTTCATCACAGTCCTTCCTCTGCTCGTTGTTGTCACACTCGAATTTGTCACAGTGAACTTCAGCGCCGGACGGATGGCGCTCCTCTCGTATCCACCAATCAGGAACGACCCCACAGCTTGTTCCTCCTTTCCTGCCACGTCAGCACCGCCTCCTGTCTTGATGGTGCCACGTGGCAGGTTCCCAATGGCTGCCTCGCTGCTGGCCATCTTGCCGTCCTTGGACCAGCCGAGAGCGATCCAACCGGTGGTTGCCACGTCAGCAGCGAGGAGTAGGGAGGAGGGGGTGAGATGCCAGTGGAGAGTGAAGCTGGAGAGGTGGGTGGGGGGATTGGGGGAGGGGGGGGGGGGGGGGGGGGGGGGGACGAATGGGAAGAGAAGGGAGGGGGGTGAAAGAAAAGGAGGGAGGAGGGGGTGAGTGCCTAAGGAGGTTGAAACTGGGCTGTGGGCGGGTTGGGGGGATGGGCGGAGTGAACAAGAGAGGTGAAATAGGGGGTGTGCGGAGGAGTTTTGAGGCGCCTCAAAAATCGTCTAAGTTCACGGGGGAGAACAAGAGAGGTGAAATAGGGGGTGTGCACAGGAGGAGGAACGGAAGGATGGCAAGTCAACCGTGATGCAACACCCGTACAGCTAAAGCCATTCAGCTACAGCTGAAGGTAAGGCTGTAGGCAAGGCTGTAGCAGCGCTACAGGCAAGCCATTCTACAGCTACCTATAGCACTGCTACAGCCTCGCCTGTTGCCCTGCAGTTGTAACTGGGCAGGGAGACAGCTGGCAGGACTGCTACAGCTACAGCTACACCTATGTAGCATAGCTGGCACGAGTGCTGATAACCTTAGTGTGCGACAGTCGTGCTGCTACCGCCAAGTACCGCACTGCTACTGCCAAGTACCACACTGCTACAGGCAAGTACCGCACTGCTACCGCCAAGTACCGCACTGCTACCACCAAGTACCGCACTGCTACAGCCAAGTACCACACTGCTACCGCCAAGTACCGCACTGCTACAGCCAAGTACCGCACTGCTACCGCCAAGTACCGCACTGCTACTGCCAAGTACCGTAATGCTACAGCCAAGTACTACACTGCTACAGCGCCTCACCTGTCACCGTTCAGCTGTAGCATGCAGGTGTATCCCGGCAGTGTGGACGGCTGCTACAGCTGTGCAGCTACAGTCCAGCTACCGATAGCACTCCTACAGCCTCCCCTGTCGCCCTGCAGCTGTAGCCAGGCAGGGAGGAGGACTTGCAGGCCAGCTACAGCTACCTACTAGCTACAGCTACCCAGTAGCTACAGGTACCTACTAGCTACAGGTACCTACTAGCTACAGCTACCTACTAGCTACAGCTACCTACTAGCTACAGGTACCTACTAGCTACAGGTACCTACTAGCTATTGCTACAGCTATTGCTACAGCTGTTGCTACAGCTATTGCTACAGCCTCACCTGTCGCCCTGTAGCTGTAGCATGCAGGTGTAGCCGGGCAAAGTTGACGGCTGGCAGGATTGGCGGGCAGGCGAGGCGAGCAGGTCGCACATGTAATCCACAAAGGCGGAGCCCCTGGAGGGGGAGGAGTGTGGGGAGATGTTGTGAAGAAAGGACGGGGAGTAGCAAGGTGAGCGGGAAGGCAGGACTGCCTCGCGGGGCAGGCGAGCAGGTCGCACATGTAATCCACAAAGGCGGAGCCCCTGGGGGAGAGAGGGGAGGGGGGAGGAGGTGAGTAAACGGCAAGAGAAGGCAAGTGAGCTGGTTTTTGAGAATTCTCGAAAACGGCAAGAGAAGGCAGGTGAGCAGGGAGGTAAGGGCAGGCGAGGCGAGCAGGCCGCACATGTAATCCACAAAGGCGAGCCTCTGGGGGGGGAAGGGAAGGGGGAAAACAGGGAGGTGGGCGCAGAAAAAGGAGGCGGTGAAGGGGAATAGGTGGAAGGCGAGGCGAGCAGGCCGCACATGTAATCCACAAAGGCGAGCCTCTGGGGGGGGAAGGGAAGGGGGAAAACAGGGAGGTGGGCGCAGAAAAAGGAGGCGGTGAAGGGGAATAGGTGGAAGGCGAGGCGAGCAGGCCGCACATGTAATCCACAAAGGCGAGCCCCTGGGGGGGGAAGGGAAGGGGGAAAACAGGGAGGTGGGCGCAGAAAAAGGAGGCGGTGAAGGGGAATAGGTGGAAGGCGAGGCGAGCAGGCCGCACATGTAGTCCACAAAGTAGGGTCCCCTGAGGAGGGGGGAGGAAGGGGGGGGGAGAAAGAGGGGTAAAACGGGTGGGAAGGGGAGTGGTTCGAGAGGCAGAAGAGTTGGCTTTTGAGTCGACTCAGAAGTCAACTTAAAGAGGGGCAAAACGGGTGCGAAGGGGAGGGAGGGGTTCGAGAGGCAGAAGAGAGGGAGGGAGAGTTGCAGGGCAGGTCGCTCATGTATTCCACACAGGCGGAGCCCCTGGGGAGGGGAAGGGAGGGGAGGGGAGGAGGAGAGGAGGAGGGCACGGGGAAAGGAGGCGGAATAGAGGGGAAATGAGACAGGCTAGGCGAACAGGTCGCACGTGTAAGCCACAAAGGCGGGTCCCCTGAGAGGGGGAGAGGAAGGTTGGTGGAGAAAGAGGGGCAAAATGGGTGCGAAGGGGAGGGGTTCGAGAGGCAAGGCAGAAGAGTTGGCTTTTGAGTCGACTCTAAAGGTTAGGGGAGAAAGAGGGGTAAAACGGGTGGGAAGGAGGTGACTTTTGAGTCGACTCAAAAGTCACTCAAAAGGTTGGGGGAGAAAGAGGGGCAAAATGGTGCGAAGGGGAGGGAGGGGTTCGAGAGGCAGAAGAGAGGGAGGGAGAGTTGCAGGGCAGGTCGCTCATGTATTCCACACAGGCGGAGCTTCTGGAGATACATGGGTGGGAGGGATGCAGGGTGGGTGGGGTGGTGGGAGGGATGCAGGGTGGGTGGGGTGGTGGATTGATGAGAGGGATGCAGGAGAGGGATGCAGGAGAGGGATGCAGGAGAGGGAGGGAGGAGAGGGAGGGAGGAGAGGGAGGGAGGAGAGGGAGGGAGGAGAGGGAGGGAGGAGAGGGAGGGAGGAGAGGGAGGAGGAGAGGGAGGCAGGAGAGGGAGGGAGGAGAGGGAGGCAGGAGAGGGAGGGAGGAGAGGGATGCAGGAGAGGGATGCAGGAGAGGGATGCAGGAGAGGGATGCACATGATGGAGCCTCTAGGGGAAGGGGAAGGGCGGGAGGGAGGGGGCGGGGAGGGGGTTTGGGTGGGTAGGGCCAGCTTACCTGGATGGCTCATGATGTACGTCAACTCACTCGGTGATTCACGTGCTTAAAACGGGTGTGCTTTTAACGAGGATAAAATGCACCCACCTGTTCCTGCCATGGTATCGAAGCACGTCCTCTGGGCTGTTTGAGTACGCCCAGATCACGTGGTGGCTCATGCTGTACGTCGGCCCGTTTGAAGAACCACGTGCTTATAGCGAATGTGCTTGAAACGAGCGCCATACTATAGGGACACCCACCTATTCCTGCCGTGGTATCGGAGCACGTAGTCTCGTCGACCCGAGAAGGCCCAGATCGCGTGGTGGCTCATGCTGTACGTCGGTTCACCACAGGGCGTTTCATGTGCTTGAAGGGGGTGTGAGTGAGTAGGCCCAGATCGCGTGGTGACTCATGCTGTGCGTCGGCTCGCTCCAAGGGCTTCATGTTCTTTAACCGGATGTGCTTGTAACAAGGACACATACACCCACCTGTTCCTGCCGTGGTATCGAACCACATCCTCTTGTCGGTCAGAGTAAGCTCAGATCACATCGTGGCTCATGCTGTACGTCGGCTCGCTGGAGGGGTAATTATGTGCTTATAACGAGGCCATGTGTAACAACTCAACACACACCTGTTGTTGCCATGGTATCGAAGCACATCCTCTCGTCGATCCGAGTGGGCCCAGAGCACATGGTGGCTCATGCTGTACGTCGGCTCGTTAGAGGGGGTTCCTCCCCCTGGTGTGCTTATAGCGGTTGTGCTTGTATTGAGGATGGGCGGGTTCGAGGCGAGGCTCCGGGAGAAGCTGGATGGGGGCAGCATGGGGATGGGAGGAAAGGGATGCAAGAGCGGGGGAAAGAACGGACGGAAGGCAGGTGGAGGAGGGAGTGGGGGTGGAGGAGGGAGTGGGGGTGGTTTTGTTGGAAATTAACGAGAGGTAAAATCGGCTGAGAGAGAGGAGAGACAGAAAACGCAGGGAAGGGAGGAGAGGAGGGGAGTGGCGGGGAGGGGTAAGCGTGTGAAAGGGGGGTGAGGAGAGGGTAGGCTTTTAGAAATCTTAAGAAGCAGCTAGCGAGATGAACTAGGGGGCACAGCTAGAGAGAAGGAATAACAAAGTTGACCGTCACACGCCCCAGCTGACTCATCCACCACACCAGCTGAATCATCCCCCACGCCAGCTGACTCATCCCCCACACCAGCTGACTCATCCCCCACACCAGCTGACTCATCCCCCACACCAGCTGACTCATCCGCCACACCAGCTGACTCATCCCCCACACCAGCTGACTCATCCCCCACACCAGCTGACTCATCCGCCACTACAGCTCACCGCATTACAGTCGACCCTCGAGCTGACGTGTAAATGCTCCACCCCTCCCCACCGCTCCCCACCTCCTCTCCTCCCCCGTTCCCTGTAGTTTCCACCAATCGCCGCACATCTTCCAGCTTATACCCGCTAATAGCATACGACGCCACGCCAGCCGCGCCGCCCAGAACACCCACTTTGCCGCCCGAACCCATTCTCTTGCCGCCCGGAGCTTGGGCGGCAATGCCGGCCGGAGATCCCACGATCGCCATGCTCGGGACCATGCGACCGTCGTGCGACCATCCCACGGCGACCCACCCGTTCTCCGCGCCGCTTCCGAAGCGCGCCTCGAGCGCGAACTCGAGGAAGAGCAGGTTGCGGCGTACCCAGTGCAGGATGAGACTGGGGGGGGAGATGAAGGCGGGGAAACGGGGAGATAGGGGTAGAGTGTGCGGGAGTTGGCTTTTTGTTGACTTAAAGCGCGCCACGGGAGCGAACTGGAGGAAGCGGGTGTTGCGGCGCACCGAGTGGAGGATGCGACGGGGGGGGGGGGGGGGGGGGGGGATGAGGGGGAGGTAGGGGGAAAGACGGGGGAGATAAGGGGGAAATGGGCGGAAGTTGGGAGGAAAGGGAAGGGTGAATCACCCGATAGTTCGGAACTATCGAGTTGATTCCAAGCGCGCCTTTCCGGCGATCTCGAGAAAGAGAAGTTTGGAGGCGCCGCACCCAATGCAGAACGAGACCGGTGTGGGGGGCGGGAGGAGGGGGAAATGAGGGGGAAGACGGGGGAGATAAGGGAGAAACGGGCGGAAATTGGGGGGAAAGGGAAGGGTGGAGTATTGAGTTGATTCCAAGCGCGCCTTTCCGGCGAACTCGAGAAAGAGAAGTTTGGAGGCGCCGCACCCAATGCAGAATGAGACTTTGCGGGGGGTGGATGAGGGGGGAAATGGGCGCAACAGTGGGGAAGTGGGCGGAAGTTGGGGGGGAGGAAGGGGATGGCTCGGGGGGGAGAGATGGGGGGAAAAATGAAGAAGAGAGCCCCTCAGATGCCGACGCACGCCTCGAGCGCGGACCGGAGGAAGAGTGCTCGTTTACGTCTCTTTCCCTTCGCTTCAGTCACACCCTTGCCTGAAAGCGCCGGCCCCTCATTTGAATCACCCCCTTTACAAGCACACACACCCTTACCCGGCCTTCGACAGAACCACCGAGTGGCTGAATCCCGCCAGCCCCGACGGCAAACACGTCCCTCAAATCGCTTACGTCCCCTTCTCTTCGCTTCAATCACCTCGTAACTCAGCACACATGCCTTACCCGGCTTCCGACAGAACCACCGAGTGGCTGAATCCCGCCAGCCCCGACGGCAAACACGGCGCGACGAACGCGGCGCCCTCGCTACCGTCCAAATGCCCCAATGGGTCCCCGTGCCACCCGAAACTCGCCTCTACCGCCGCCACTTCCGCATCACCTGCCGCCGCCGCCGCACGTGTTCCGGCCGGAGGTGCTGCAGCTGCGAGTGGCGGCTGGAAAACGACGACGCAGATTAGCGTCCAAACACATAAAGCCGGGCATTTCAAGAACCATGTTCGAGCCGCGATGCGGGAAATACGCTTCTTGGATTCGATCATTAGTGCGGTGCGAACGGAGTCGGCCGATGGTAATTCGTCCGCTGAGCACGCAGCGCAACTTATGGGAGAATGGCGGGAATGTTCATCCAAACGTCTCTGAACCGACGGCGGAATTGAGAAAGTCGAGGGAGTTACGGAAATCACGGTTTTAGTTCCCTCGAAGTTTAGGGCGGTGGTAGTTTCTAAACCGCGTAAAGGCGCTGATAGTTTCTTCCTTGACGGCGGATGGGGGATACGCGCTATTGAATGATGTGTTACAAGCGAGTCGCACTGTTGGGACATGACGTCTCGTGACGTGCCAACCGCCGCGCTAGCTGTGATAAGCAACTCTTAGTAGTGGCCTACTTGGTTCAAACGTCGGAAACCTGAAGTGAATCGCCTATCAAGCTAAGTTCTTTTGCTCTGTGTGATCTACGTGGACGCTGCTCGCGGCGTTTCAATTTCGTACTGTAATGTGCTCGGAAGAGAGTTGCGATTCAATCTCTGAGCTTCATCCCAAATTTGCCGTCACAGAAGTGCTCCAGCCCGGCACCGTAGCCCTTGGTCGTCTCGCCTCCGAGCAGGGCAGGTTTGGTTGGGTTGGGAGGAGTGACCGTCGTTTCGGGCTGCGGTGCGGAATAACGGGCCCAGGGTTGTTCAGACAGGGCAGGGGCCAGGGCAAGCCGCATGGCATGTGGAGCGGAAGGCAGGAGAAGGTGTTTAGTGGAGAAGGGGCAGCTGGTAGAACTGTACCTGTGCGGTCCAGAATACACCACAGTTGAGTGTGAGAGCGTGCATTGCCCCCTAGCAAGCAAAACAGGTTTCAGGGATCGTCAGTTCGTCGTCGTGCAATGTGCGACAGGAGGAGACTATGGAGGTCTGCGACGGGTCGTCGTGATTCCTGAATGTGGTGGCAATTCTATGGGCAGGTGCGTGGAGTCGGATAGTTTCGGTCGGGCTGGTCATAAATTTGTCGCACAGCGCGATCCGTCATCAATCCTCCCACACAAGTTTACAAAGCACAAGTGTATTTTCCACTGGTATCTGTTTCGGACGCAATACTTGGGAGATGATTTCGTTTCGGGACATCAGGAGATGTGAGAGTTGGGTGTCAAGGTTGTTTCTGTGAGTGCGGGCAGCAGGAAGTGGAAATTACACTTGTGCTTTGTATCCGAGACGAGCCGCGGATTCGAAATTTGCAGCATGAAAATTCGGCAATACCCGCCGCCGATCCGAATCGTTGACTCCACGGAAATGTCATGTCCGTGACCAAGCCACGTCAGATGGTGGACGCGCGGCGCGTCAATTGTGCTGGCTGGCATGGCAAGTTACCCGTTTAGGCTCGGAGAAAAGCAACAACCCTTCGTTGAGTACATCGATAATGCACTTCAGTCTATGCAGAGCAGCCACCTCTTCAGCATTGCAAAGACATCGCCAGAGAGCTTACAAGCCATGTCAACAAATGACTAAGTAATGATACTGCATCCCAACCTATGCCTTTCAAGAAGCACTCCGTCCCTTGGAATGGAACAGCATCTGCAAGGCGCCACTGCCACCCCATAATCAGTAATGGAGCAACAAGTGTAGCTTATTCTAATGCCTTCTGCGCCTCTTATCATCATCGTCGTCGTCGTCGTCGTCGTCGTCGTCATCATTATCATCGTCGTCCTCATCTCCGTAATCCTCCTCTGCCTTGCTAGAGGGAGCATACCGGCACGAAAAATCCACCTTTGCGGTGCCACTGGGGGCATTACAGCAAAACACAAGCAGCGCAGCAAGGCAAAGAAATTAGCAAATAAGAAATTAGTAAAATAAGAGAGAGACCTTCCATTTCAGGGGGGTATGAGGCCGCTTCTTCATGAACAGGAAAAAAGAGAAGGGCGAGCGAGAGGGATAAAAGCACTTACTAGCTGTTGCCGTGGAAAGAAAGCGAGGGAAGGCCCGGGCGGGAGAAGGCCCAGACCAGCTTAGACAGGCCAGCCATGGGGAATCGCATCACCACTCCCGTGTTCTTGGTGCGAGAGAAGCTGTTAGGAGATGGTTGGGGGGGAGTGGGGGAAGAGTGAGCGGGGGAAGGCGTAGACGAGCGTGGTAAGGCCAGCATCACCACTCCCGTGTTCTTGGTGCGAGAGAATAGGAGATGGTTGGGGGGGGGTGGGAAGGGAGTGGGGAGAGAGGGGGGGGGTGGGTGGTGTGAGCGGGAGAAGGCACAGATGAGTTTGGTCATGCATGCCATCCAAGAAAAATCGCATTATCATCCCCGAGTTCTTGATGCAAGCGGTTAGGGGAGGCAGCAGGTGATAGGGGATGGGGAGTGAAGATGCAATAGTCTAAGTGCTGTTGGTTGGAAGGAACTCCCATTCTGTACCCTGTATTAGCATACGTCAATGCAGCACCCTCGAGATAACAGTGTTGTTGTCCGCAGCTCTCATCGTGTAGCCCTTTATTAGCACACATACACCATCCTTATAACGCATCACCCACTCACGTGATAACAGTGTCATTCGCCGCGGTCGTGACCGTCGCCGCGTTACTCCCGATCGAGAACGCCGAAGTTGGCTGAATCCTGCCCATGCTGTACCCCTTAATAACATACGGCATTACAAGCCCGCCAGCCAGGTTCCCAATGACAGCATCAGCGGGCGACATCTTTCCTTTGGGCGACCATCCCAGGGCGATCCAGCCGTCCTTGGCCCTGCCTGCCGCCTTGGCCTCTATTGCCATGTCCACCTGCGTGGCTGACACTGGCGTCCAGTGCAGGAAGAGACTGGGGGGGGGGAGAGGGATGGGGGGTATTTGGTGGGGAAGGGAGGGAGGGGACATGGAAAGGGAGGAGAACGGGAGGAGAACGGGAGGAGAACGGGAGGAGAAAGGGAGGAGAACGGGAGGAGAACGGGAGGAGAACGGGAGGAGAACGGGAGGAGAAAGGGAGGAGAAAGGGAGGAGAAAGGGAGGAGAAAGGGAGGAGAAAGGGAGGAGAAAGGGAGGAGAAAGGGAGGAGAAAGGGAGGAGAACGGGAGGAGAAAGGGAGGAGAAAGGGAGGAGAAAGGGAGGAGAAAGGGAGGAGAAAGGGAGGAGAAAGGGAGGAAAAGTATGAGTCGACTCAGAAGAGGGAAGAGGAGGGGGCGTGGGGGAGGGGGAGGAGGCGGGGGAAGGGGAACTTCCTAGGTAGAAAGCAGACATTTGCAGCAGAGAGAAGATGGAGCAGGGAGAGAGGAGGACGCAGAGAGAGGAGGAAGCAGAGAGAGGAGGACGCAGAGAGAGGAGGACGCAGAGAGAGGAGGAAGCAGAGAGAGGAGGACGCAGAGAGAGGAGGACGCAGAGAGAGGAGGACGCAGAGAGACACATCGGGTGTTCTCACATGGAAGAGGATTTGGAAGGGCGCAGGGCGACATGGAAGGCGAATCCAGGGAGGGTGGACGCGGGGAGGGAGGAGGGAAATGGGGGCGGGAAGCGGCATGCAGTGCATGTGAGGCCAGCACAAGGGGCATGACTGCAAGAGCAACAGACAGAAACTCACTTGGGCGGGCGCAGGGCGACTTGGAAGGCGTATCCAGGGAGGGTGGACGCGGGGCAGGCTCTACCCGTGGCGAAGGAAGAAGGGGGGGGAGGCGGAGGTGGGGGGGCGCTGGTGGTGGGCGGAGGGGGGTTGGAGCCTGCCCCGCCAGCAGGGGGAGGCGGGGGGGTGCCTGTTCCGCCAGTAGGGGGAGGAGGGGGGGTGGTTGTTCCGCCAGTGGGGGGAGGGGGGTTGGTGGCGGGCGGAGGGGGAGGCGGGGGGGCGACGGGGGAGCCATTGCAGGAGAAATCGACTGTGAAGACTCCGCTGGGGGAGGGGGAGGGGGGGGGGGGATGGGGGAGGTGGGGGTGGGAAAGTGGGTGCGGGGGAAAGTTGGGGTGGAAGGGGAAAGAAATGTAAGCCGCAGTGGGAGGTAAGAAGGATTGTCGGAGGAGCGACAGGGGAGCCGTTGCAGGAGAGATGTCAACGGTGGTTCCGCACAGCACAGCAAAGAACAGCACCGCACCGCACCGCACCGTACAGGACCACATGTACCTGCCGGCACCCACCTGCCCCTATCACTCACTAGTGCGAGCCGTGGTAAGCAATGGTCTTGGCGCCGCTCTTGGAATAAGCATACACCATCCTGTTGCTTCCCCGCACGTTCACCGGCGCTACCCCTCCATCTCCAGTGCTGCGAGTGAACCTGGAGAGACAAGAGACAAGAGCACCCAAGGAAGATACGGTATGAGGAGTGGTAAGAGAGTGCAAATGAGGATCAGGAAGGGTTGGTGTGTGATTCGAGCGTACACCATCCTGTTGCTTCCCCGCACGTTCACCGGCGCTACCCCTCCGTCTCCCGTGCTGCGAGTGAACCTGGAGAGACAGGAAGAGAACGGCATGAGGTTTGGGATGGGGCTTGCAAGAGGTTCGGTATGAAGCTCGGAATGAGGGCGGGGCGGGAAACACACGAGCAGGTTGCTGCGTGTCGCGTTGACAGGAGCCACACCACCGACTTCAGTGCTGCGAATGAACCTGGAGAGGGAAAATCACACGAGCGTACGAGGTTCGGAAAGAGGGTTGACATGAGGTTCGGAAAGAGGGTTGACATGAGGTTCGGGCAACGCAAATCGGTTGCTTCCCTTTTCATTGACGGGAAAGAGGGTTGACATGAGGAACCACACAACCGCGCTGCTCTGCCCGCCGACGTCAGGGCTGCAAATGAACCTGGAGAGGCGAGAACACCCAAGGGTATGAGGTCCGGTAATTATTGTTAGTACTAGGTTCGGAATGAGGTTCGGTACGAGGTTCGGCATGAGGTTCGGTATGAGGGCTTGGTACGAGGCTCTTTGTAGCACTCACTTCATCATGGCCATCGTTCCGCCCATGAACGACCGGCTCCCCGGCCAAACGGAGAAGCTAATAACGGGTACAGCACATCGCCCCCCAACACTCATCATCATAGTAGCCATTGTTCCGTCTGTAAACGACCGGCTCCTCGCGCCAAACGGATAAGCTAATAACGAGTACACCGCCCCCCTGCACTCACTCCATCGTGGCAGTCGTTCCGCCTGTAAACGACCGGCTCCCCGCGCCAAACGCAGTCGTGGCTTTCACCGTCGAGTAGGAAGTAATGGCGTACGTATTAACGGGGACGGGCGAGCCCTCCCTCTTCCACCCCACCACCAGCACTCACTTCATCGTGGCCGTCGTTCCGCCCGTGAAAGCCTTTCCGCCCGCGCCGAACGCGGTCGTGGCTTTCACCGTCGAGTAGCTCGTAATGGCGTACGTATTAACGGGGACGGGCGAGCCTCCCTGGTTCGCGATGACCGCGTCTGCCGTCACCATGCCGCCGCTCTTGGAGAACGCGACGCTGAACCACCCGGTAGCGGCGGCGCCGGTGGCCGTTACGGCGAGCTCTAGCAGCGATCCGGTCGTGACTTTCCAGTGGAGCTTCATGCTGGGGGGGAGGGGGAGGGGGAAGGGGGAAGAAGCGGGGAGGGGGGGAGGGGAAGGGGAAGGGGGAGAGAGAAAGGGGAGATGGGAGGGGGAACGCGACGCTGAACGTTGAGCCGCCCTGGTTCGCGGTCGCGATAACCGCGTCTGACTTCACCATGCCGCAGCTCCCGCCGTTAAGGTTGAGGTGGGGAAGGGGGGGGGGGAAGGGTGGGCCGTGTTGGTTCGCAATGACCGCGTCTGACGTCACCGTGTCGCCGGACTTAAAAAACGCGACGCCGAACCAGCCGGTGGCGGCGGCGCCGGTGGCCGTCACTGCGAGCTCTAGCAGCGAGCCGGTCGTCACTCTCCACTGGAGCTTCATGCTGGGGGGGGAGGCGGAGGGGGGTGAAGGCGGGGGGGGGGGGGGAGAGGGAAGGGGAGCGACGGGGGGAGAGGGAGGGTGCACGGGGGATGGGGGAAGGGTGCGCCGGTGGCCGTTACTGCGAGATCTAGCAGCGATCCTAGTTGTCTCGGAACTCTATTATCGTGTCCCGAAAGGTCTAGCCTGTGCAAAGAGCCGTACTTTGACCCAAGGGAACTTTTGAGTCGACTTTTAAGTTGACTGTTGAGTCAACTCAAAAGTCAAAGGTCTAGCCTGTGGAAAGAGCCGTACTTTGACCCGAGAGCGACTGACGATGTGAATCCCGCGAGCGGCGACGCCGAGCAAGTCGCCTGCGGGGTAACCCTTCTCGCCAGAACACGCCCGCGGCCGCGGCCTTCGCCAACATTTTCGCCATCAACGCTTTCCCGTTCGCCACTTTCGGCGGACGTCGCGGTCGTCACGGCGATGGCTGCGCTCGATGATATTAGTAGCACAAGTAGGAGCAATGCCGTCGTCGCTTGCAAGCGAGCTGCTAAGGCGAGCCGCGCGAAGAGATTCCTCGCTGACGCCGCCATCATTGGAGCTGTCACCTGCACGAGAGCTGCTGATAGCGGCCGTAACTCGCGGACGAGCGGTTCGATCGGAAGTGATGGAGCGGTTCGATCGGAATGGGCGGAGTTGTTCGATCGGAAGGGACGGAGCGGCAATCAAAATGGACGGAATGGAACGTTGGATGGAGTGGAGGCACTACTTAGCAGCTATTTAGACTTATAACAACAAAAGAAACTAACACATAGGTGTGGAGAAAAGGAATGGATGCCTTCACCGTGCTACTGACTGTAGACGCGCAAAGCTAGGGTTTGAACAACCAAGTTTCTGACAGCCTCTGTAGGCATCTTGTGTACAGTCACTACCACCGACCATGTGGCGAGCGCGTGCTCCCTCCGTACCCACCGTCAGAAATCGCCTCAACACCTGACGTGCAAGCTCATCGAGCAATGTGCAGTATTACTGTACTTCGAATCGCACAAGTTCCAGCTGTCATCCCTTACAGTACAAGGATAAGAAGTCGAGCACGTGGCCGGACTCGAACCACACACGATCACTACAGTTCAACTGTGTGATGCTGTGCCATGCCATGCCATGCCAGACTCCCGCCACATACTCCAGTGTGGTGTACTACTGTACTAAGTTTTTGCCATCGCCACAATTTGGCTACATGCACATGTGTATGTATGGGACAACCTTAGACATTGAAGTCAATGTATATTTTGCCTACACGTACTTATCCATCCTTCCCTAGTGAAGGATATGACCGCCAACAAAAAACATCATCATAGCTGATAGAGGTGCTACGCACCCATCACATTGAATAAATTTGTCATCCATCTAATTGAATAAAGAAGATGTTGTATAGGTTATCATTGTTATGTACGGTATTGCGTGGTATCAATTCATTTAACTCGCATCAAATAACAAGCTCATAAAATGATTCTTAAACACCATCCACAGCAATCAAACGCCATTGAGGGTGGTTAAGAATCACCCTATCTCAACTCGCCCTTACCACCACCCACAACCCCAATAAACAGCACCAATATCCCCGCAAGAAGTGCATAATCAATCACCCCTCATGATACAATACCTCTGCCCCTACTTCGATAACTTTCTGCAAGACAATGGCTCGGCTTGAGTAGATCCACCATGTGATGTCGCATCACATCCACACAACGGGTTGAAATGCCCTTATCAAAAGCTTCCATGCTCCCATCTCATTGCATCACCTTCTCCTAAGCCCCACGGGAGTGCTCCTGGTTCTTGCCCTTGCTTCGGCCCTTGCCCTTGCCCCGCCCCTTGCCCTTGCCGTTGTTATCACCACCCTTCTTTTTATCGCCACCCTTCTTGTTATCATCATCATCATCATCGTCGTCGTCATCATGGCCCTTCCCCCCGCCTCCGCTCCCCCCTCCAGACGATCCAGTCTTGCAGGAAAAGTCAACGGTGATGCGACCACTGGGAAGGGAAGCAAGGCGATGGGGGGACGGGAAAAGAGGAGAATGAAAGAGGAGAATGAAATGGGTGAGAGTCTACCCAGCCCGAGGAGTAGGAGTAGTACATTCTAGGATGTTCTTGCTCGTCCCCACCCACCAGCAACCCACCAGCAATCATACATACTCCCTATAAGCATCCTCAACACACTCATTATGCACCACCGTGGAAGCTTATTGGAGTCTGAGGGGGAGTAGGCCCAGAGCAGGCTGTTGCTCCCTGCCACGACCACACGACCATACATACATACCCCCTATAAGCAACCCACCATACTCATTATAAGCAAGCTTTGTACACTCACTATGCACCGCCGTGGAAGCCTAGGCTCTTAGAGCCCGAGGGGGAGTAGGCCCAGAGCAGGCTGTTGCTCCCTGCCACTTGCACCTTGGCTGCCGAACCTGTGCCCTGGGTTCGGGAGAACCTGAGGTATGAGAAGGAGAGGAGGGATGGGAAGAAGAGAGATAGACATGTGAGCAGTTGGAGGGGAGATTGTGCTGAGTAAAGGGATTTTGCAGAGTGGAATATGAAACGCACCCTATGTCTAGTTTAAAGCTAGAATAAAGAAGCAAAATCCCAGTGACAGCTCACTTGACCACTGTGGACCCAGCGGCAACTCACTTGACCACTGTGGACCCAGATGCACTGGTGGTTGTGTTGGCAGTGCCGATGCCAAAAGCAGTGGTGCGCTGGATCGAGCCCACGGAGTATCCACCGATCTTATACGCTGCCACTCCGCCAAGCACAGCACACAGCACACAGCCCACAGCCTTCAGAAACTCACTTGATCACCGTAGACCCAGAAGTGGTGGTGGTGGTGTTGGCAGTCCCAATGCCAAAAGCAGTTGTCCGTTGGATCGAGCCCATGGAGTATCCACCGATCTTATACGCTGCCACTCCGCCGCCCGCCATGTTACCAAAAACGGCGTCGGAAGGTGCCATCTTGCCGCCCTTGGCCCATGCGAGGGCGATCCAGCCGGACTTGGCGGGGGCGGCTGTGGCCTCGATGGCCAGATCGAGCTGCGAGGCAGACGCTGCTTTCCAGTGAAGGAGGAGGCTGAAGGGAAAGGGAGAGGGGAAGAAGCAGTGCGGACAAAAAGAAGGCATTGGGTTCAGCCGGCCTTGGCCGGGGCGGCTGTGGCCTTGATGGCTAGATCGAGCTGCGAGGCAGAAGCTGCTTTCCAGTGCAGGAGCAGGCCGAGGGAGAGAGGAGGGGAGAAGGTGCTCGAGAGAGGAGGGAGGAGAGGAGGGAGGAGAGGAGGGAGGAGAGGAGGGAGGGGAGGAGGGAGGAGAGGAGGGAGGGGAGGAGGGAGGAGAGGAGGGAGGAGAGGAGGGAGGAGAGGAGGGAGGAGAGGAGGGAGGAGAGGAGGGAGGAGAGGAGGGAGGAGAGGAGGGGGATACAGCCCTTTTTATAGTAGGTAGGGGTGTATCCACTCAAAAAGGGAAACAGGAGAATCTGATCGGTAGGGGGACGAGAGACGAGGGAGGAGAGGCGAGAGATACAGGAGAATCCGATAGGTAGGGGGACGAGAGAGGGGAGAACATGGAAAGGCGGAGAGGGGAGGACTTACGTGCTTCCCTTGAGGTGAGTCCGGTAGGTGTAGTGAGGTACAGTGGACGCGGGACAGTTGGAGCCTCCCCCAGAAGAGAGTAAGGGAGAAAGGGAGAAAAGAACACTTACGTGGTGCCCTTGAGCTGAGTCCGGTAGGTATATCCGGGGAGGGTGGACGCGGGGCAGTTGGAGCCTCCTCCAGAAGAGGACGGCGGAGGGGGAGGGGCGGGGGTGGTGGGCGGAGGGGGCGGGGTGGCGGGGGGAGGGGGCGCAGGGGTGGCGGAAGCAGAGGCGTCACAGGAGAAGTCCACGTCAGCAATGCCACTGCGATTGGGGGAGTGGGGGAAAAAAGGGGGAAGAAAGGGGGAAGAAAGGGGGAAGAAAGGGGGAAGAAAGGGGGAAGAAAGGGGGAAGAAAGGGGGAAGGAGGGGGGAGAACATGTGAGAAGCGAGAAGGCGCCAGGGTGTCAGCTTCTATCCCATTGGTGGCTGGGTGGGTGGGCGATGACGTTTGCATGGTCCTCGGCTCCACATCAGCCACTGGGGAGTGGCCCAGACGAGAGAGTTGGTGCTTGCCCAGACGAGAGAGTTGGTGCTTGCCCAGACGAGAGAGTTGGTGCTTGCCTGCCATACCCCCACTGCCACTGCCAGCACACTGCGCGTAATCCCCACGCTCGCAACGCGCACAGTGCCCCAAAGCACTCACTAGCCCACGCCCATCCCCACTTATTGAGTCGACTCAAAAGTCCCCACGCCCATCCCCACTTATTGAGTCGACTCAAAAGTCCCCACGCCCATCCCCACTTATTGAGTCGACTCAAAAGTCCCCACGCCCATCCCCACTTATTGAGTCGACTCAAAAGTCCCCACGCCCATCCCCACTTATTTCACCCACCCACTCCCTACGCGTGCATCGCTCCCAGTTCTCACTAGTGGCTGTTGTGGTAGGCCATGGTCTTAGCGCCACTGGCGGAGAAGGCCCAGATGAGCGAGTTGACTCCTGCCTGTCATCCCCTCCCCTGTCATACCTTCCCCGCCACTGCACACACAGCCGCCCCCAGACACTCACTAGTGGCTGTTGTGGTAGGCGACGGTCTTAGAGCCACTGGCGGAGAAGGCCCAGATGAGCGAGTTGACTCCTGCCACGTCCACAGCGACCGATGAGCCGTCGCTTGCTGACCGGGTGAACCTGGTGTGGGAGAGGAGAGAGTAGAGGAGAGGAGGGAGTGGAGGAGAGGAGGGTATGAAAGCCTTATCAATCCAGTCCAGGTCCAGCTGAGGAGTCTGTCGTCGTAAATGTAACTGACGTGCACAAGTAGCTGACGTGCACAAAGTGGCTGACGTGTACAAGTGACTGACGTGTACAGCACGAGTAGCACTGATAAACGCGACGCGATACTACTCACTTGGCGATGGTGGTCGTTGTTCCCGCGGTTAACGAAACGCTCCCCGGGGTGAACGCGCTCGTCGCAGCGACGTTGCTCGCCGAGTACCCCGTGATTCTGTACGCTTTAATAGCCGGCGACGTCGCGAGGTTGCACATCACCGCGTCTGCCGGCGCCATCGCGCCGGGCGACGACGCCCACGCCACAGAGAACCACCCCGTCCCCGCGCCGCTCGCTCGCGTCGCCTCGACCGCCAGCTGGATCGTCGACGTGGCGGTTACCTCCCAATGCAGGCGGAGACTGGGGGATTTTCGGGGGAGGTTCGGGGGAACGCGTGGCGGGGGGGGGAAGGGACAGGCCAATGCAGGTTAGCGCCGGCGACTCGTAAGTCACCTCGCCGGATGTTTAGCATCAGCCAATGCAGGCGGCGACAGACGGGGCTCGCGATTACTATAACAGGAAAGTAACAGCGCTTCGCCGAATTGAAACGAAACTCGTGTGCAAAGCTCCGCGCTTCCGAAGCGGAGGGTTGGGGTATCTCTCAATGACAAAGCGATTTTGGTGTTCAAAATTTCGTGAGTCACGGGCGGCGCATCAAGATGCAGATTGACGGTGTGGTTTCCATACGCATCGACGGCGCTCTTACCCGCTCGCGAGTGCGATCGACGACGTGTAACCCGACAGTGACGACGGATCGCACGTGCCAGTCGCAGCGGGTTTGACGCTAGCAATCGTCATCGCAGCAGGCTGCGCTGCCTGGGTTCCCGCGCGCAGCGACGAGAAAAGCTGCGACACGGCGGACGCGACATTCCACCTCCAACCCGAGCCTGCTGGTTGCGCGGCCAGCGCATTTTGCGGGAGAATCAGCGTGGCAAAAACCAGCGCTAAGAGGGGGAGCAAGCGCTTTGCGAGCGGGCGATGAGTGGTCCTTCGTGACGGTTGATGCGAGCAGCGCCGCGAAAAACGCGGAGCCATCGTTGAGAATTTACGTAGTCGGGCGTAAAATGAAAGCTGACGGCGAGATGCGACGCGGGGGATTCGGACGAAGAAGGTTAGTGGCTGAGAAACACGCGCGGAAATGGCGATGGGTGGGGATGGATGGGCGGCGGGTGATTGGCGATGGATTATTGCTCCGCTCTGACTTTCTCTCGCTCGCGGTTAGCTTCAAGCAAGAACAGCTATCGAAGCCAGGTGTTGAAGCGGGAATAAGAAGTGAAACCTGATTTAGCTTGTTTTGTACTCGCAGGGTATTCGTTCGGAATTCCATTCGAAAGCGCAATGCGCGGGAATGGAGAGAATTTCTCCAGACCCCGAAACGGTGATTTGCCGTTGCATACGTGGCCTCCAATTGCTACCGTGGTCAGACAATTCGATGATAATTGCTCGAGTGGTCTTGCCAGAGGTTTCCTCTGGCATTTTTTTTATCCGGCACATTACCCAAAGCCGGTTTTTAGCCCTGAAATTCTTACGTCGAACGTGTCTCTTCCCACGAAAGTGTGGCGTACCCGGAAAGACGTGCACGAGGGCGACAACGTCACTATTCGGATACGCGACAAAAATCAGCACACTCATCTAGGCAAACAGTTGCGCTCAATTTCGGTCCATATTGTAACCAATCCGCGCATAGTTATATGATTCTACGATCATATATTCAGTTGGACGGATGTCAGTACGCGCGACCAATTACAGAGTGCACCTGATTGGTCGACTTTATGCGCGAGGCCTTTTCTGACCTTGCACGTCCAATCAGACGCGATCATGTAAGATCGCGCTCATATAAAACCGCATATTTACCTATATGAGCGCGCATATGTGATGCTCGAATGTGTGTATGATCTATTTTACTAATCTAAAACTAAATTAATAAATTTGAGAGACATTATCACTGCCGACATTTTGCCATTATACCTATATTACGTTGTGCGATATAGGTATCCACAGTTTGATATAGGTATAATGGCAAAACGCTGGTAGTGATAACGTCTCTAAAATTTATTAATATAGTTTTATATTAATAAAACAGATCACACACACATTCGAGCATCACATATGCGCGCTCATACAGGTAAATATGCGGTTTTATATGAGCGCAATTTTACATGACCGCGTCTGATTGGACGCGCAAGGTCAGAAAAGGCCCCACGCATAAAGTCGACCAATCAAGCGCACTCTGTAACTGGTCGTGCATACTGACATCTGTGCAACTGAGTATATGATCGGGGAATCATATAACTATGCGCGGATTGGTTACGATATGGACCGAAATTGAGCGCAACTGTTTACCTGGATTACCGTGCCGATTTTGTCGCGTATCCGAACAGTGACGGCGCCGCCCTCGTGCACGTCTTTCCGGGTGCGTCACACTTTCGCAGGAAGAGACACGTTCGACGTAAGAATTTCAGGGCTAAAAACCGGCTTTGGGTAATGTGCCGGATAAAAAAAATGCCAGAGGAAACCTCTGGCAAGACCACTCGAGCAATTATCATCGAGTTGTCCGACCACGGTAGCAATTGGAGGCCACGTGTGCATAGGCAAATCACCGTTTCGGGGTCTGGAAAAATTCTCTCGCGGGAATGAGAAAGAATGAGAGGATTAGGGGGAGCAGCTGAAGCGGGAATGAGGGGGGTAACAAGAGAGAAGGGTGAGGGGGGAAGAGCAGGACGAGGATAACGAGCAGGAAAGGGGGGGTGTAGGCGGGGAGCGGGGTAGGGGGAGAACAATAAGGGGAACGGCGCGTTTCACGACGCGACGGTGTCGGTGACGCAGAAACGAAGATTGCGCGTGTCACGCAGCTCTGGCTCCATCCATTCAAGCTTGTCAGAGAAGCCAGGGAAAATGCACGAGCTTCCGCATTGGGCAGGGAGAAGAAATTGCTTCAATTCCTAGGATAATAAAGCTGTTATCTTTTTCGTTATCTACCTCCTTTTGGTGCGGCAATGAAAGCTTTAGGTTGCATAATGCACTTTGTTATTGTCATCATCGGGCTCACGAAAACGTTGAGAAACTACACCAAGTTTCAACACGGAAATGACACTTGCGGCTGGTGTTTTGGTGAGTTTGGCGGGGGAGGGCATTGGGGGGGGCACCACCACACAAGTGTTCTTTCTGGCGGTCACGTTTGCAAATCACACAGCATTATTCGTTGACGGCAGTCAACATGTCAGTCAGGGGAAACGGTGCACAGCACACCGACCACGAGAAATCCACGAGCCATTCGAGGCAAGGGGGAGGGGCTTTGCTCCAGCGGTCAACTGTATTCGTAGAGTGGACGAAATAGTGCGTGGTGACCACAGAAAAAGAGTGTGTCGGCTCAATTTGCGATATGGGAGGTGGGTCACCACGAAGTGAAGTGCGGAAAACAAGTACAAGTGTTCTCGTTTATAGTCCGACAGATCAACATCGCCACGCGCAGACTATGTGCGAAAACCTTCAAACCCCAGGCAAAACGCGATACTGATAGTCCCGTTCAAGAAAATTGCATGAAAGGTGGTTGTTTTGCTACTATTTTCTGGATTTCGGCATTTACGTAGATTTGGACCGCGCTTGCTTCAACTTCCAGTCGCACGGTTTTCCACACTGATCAATGTTGCATGAATGACGGGCAAAAATAAACAGAATCAACAATGGTTTTGGGGTCGAATAGTAACCCAAAACATTTTTTTACCCTGTAATCGAAATAAATAAGATGTCATCGTCGATCGCGCTTGAGACAAGACTGTCAAACATTATATATGTTGTGTTAGTTTAGGCTACAGAGGGTTCGCCTATAGGGGGTACACAATTCTAGGGTTAGGTACTTGTACTCATTTCACTGTTAGTTCATTCATTCCTGTTCAGTTATTCCAACATGGTATAGAGCAGGTCCTTCCTAGGACCGAATTTTTTTAAGGGCCCACCACTACCTACCTACCTACATACCTACTTCCGCCCTAGGGCGCCTCGGCTTCGTCACGCCCCTAGAGGCCCCCCTTGTCGGCCCCGCGCTAGCCCCGTTCAGGCCCCGTCGGCCCCACGCCCGCTGTCTCTAGCGACCCCGTTCAGGCCCCGTCGGCACCGTTCAGGCCCCGTCGGCCCCGCGCTAGCCCCGTTCAGGCCCCGTCGGCCCCACGCCCGCTATCCCTAGAGGCCCCGTCGGCCCCGTTCAGGCCCCGTCGGCCCCGCACTAGCCCCGTTCAGGCCCCGTCGGCCCCGCGCTAGCCCCGTTCAGGCCCCGTCGGCCCCACGCCCACTATCCCTAGAGGCCCCGTCGGCCCCGTTCAAGCCCCGTCGGCCCCGCACTAGCCCCGTTCAGGCCCCGTCGGCCCCGTGCTAGCCCCGTTCAGGCCCCGTCGGCCCCGCGCTAGCCCCGTTCAGGCCCCGTCGGCCCCGCGCTAGCCCCGTTCAGGCCCCGATCGGCTCCGCGCCCGCCGTCCCTAGAGGCCCCAACCGGCCCCGTGCCCACCGTCCCTAGAGGCTCCGAGCGGCCCGTTCCCGCCGCAGCCCGCGACCGAACCGAGCCGCGCAACCCGAGCCGCGCGACCCGAGCCGCACGCCCCGAGCCGAGCCGCGCGACCCAGCCGAACCGCGCGACCCGACCCGAACCGAGCCGCGCCGCCCTACCCTAACTGAACCGTCCTAACTGCTTCTCCTCCTACTACTGCTGCTACTTCTACTTCCTATGGCTAGCCCACAGGTTCTCGTGTTCGATGCTGAGGGCCGTCCTGTGAAGTTTGACACCTGGCTCGATGACCTGCACCTCTACCTACAGCTCACAGCCAAGGATGACATCTCACTGTACGACCACGCCCTAGGCCATGTCACTGCCCCTTCTGCTACTGCTGACAGCACTGCTCGCTCCCAGTGGCAGACTCGTGATGCTCACGCTCGCTTCGCTATTCGCAACTCACTGCCGATAGACGAACGCGAGCACTTTGGCCAGCATAAGACTGCACAGGCACTGTACACCGCTGTAGTTGCTCGCTACTCCTCACCTGCCTCTGCCGCGCTAGGCCGTCTCTCCCTCCCCTACCTGTTTCCCGACCTGGCCTCGTTCCACACAGTCGCTGACCTCATCACGCACCTTCGTAATAGTGAGGCCCGCTTCCGTGCCGCCATGCCTGCTGAGTTCCTTGCCACTCACCCCCCTGTCAGAACATATAGCTTACTTGTTTCTGTAGGCTATAGTGGGGTATCCCATAGGGGGTACAACCCAATTAGGGTTTCCTATTTGTACCCACTTCATTTCATAGTCATTCACTCCCGTTCATTCAGTTTCACATGGTATAGAGCGGGTCCCTTCTAAGGACCGTTTTTTTTTGGGCCCACCCACGATCTTTTTTTTCCTGCCCGGAGCGCGCCCTGTTCTCCTCGAGGCGCGCTCCCCCTAGTGCGCGTCGAGCTGCCCTTGTGGCGCCCCGAGAGTCGCGCGCGCGACTCATTTTTTTTTTCGCGCGCGCGGCCCGGGCCCCACTTCGCGCGGCCCTTACAGCCGCGCCGCGCCGCTCTCTCGGCTCTGCCGCGCCGCGCCGCCCTCAAGACGGCCGCGCGGCCTCTTCGTCGCTGCGGCAGGCCCCCCCCCCGCTACACCTCTGTCGGCCCCGCCGCCGCCTTACCTGACGGCCGCCGCCTCACCTGACGGCCCGCCGCCTCGCCCTCTGGCCCGCCACCTCACCAGACGGCCCTGCCGCCTCACCTGACGGCCCACCGTCTCACCTGCTGGCCCGCCACCTTACCTGACGGCCCCGCCGCCTCACCTGACG